AATGGGAAAAATAAAATAGCATGGAGGGAAATAGTTATCAAAACTAAATATGAACGGGATGAACTCACCTATAAAATGGAAGCAGGTAGCAGAATAGATTAAAAAATCAAAATCCCACAATATGCTGTTTATAAGAAACACATTTGAAGCACAGAGATGAGTAAAGATAAGGGGCTGGAGCATAATCTATTATGCTTCGGCTGAAGTAAAAAAAAAAGCAGAGGTAGCAATCATGATCTCAGATAAAACAAAAGCAAAAATAGGCTTAATTAAAAGAGATAAAGGGGGGAGCAACTAGATGGTGTAGTGAATAGAGCACCAGCCCTGGATTCAGGAGGACCAGAGTTCAAATCTGGCCTTAGACACATAACACTTACTAGCTATGTGACCCTGGGCAAGTCATTTAACCCCATTGCCTAGCCAAAAAAAAAAAAAAAGGAAAGAAACTATAACTTGCAATACTAAACATATGCAACAAATAGTATAGCATCTAAATTTTTAAAGAAGTTAAATGAGTTACAGGAGGAAATAGTAAAACTAAATGTGGAGGACCTCAATGTTCCCCTCTCAGATCTAGATAAATCTAACAAAAAATAAACAAGAAAAGTTAAGGAAGTGAATAGAATTTTAGAAAAGTTAGATGTGATAGACCTCTGGAGAAAATAGAATGGGAATAGAAAGGAATATACCTTTTTTTTTTCTATGGTACACAGCACTTACACAGAAATTGACTTAAGGCATCAAAACATCACAACCAAATGCAGAAAAGCAGAAATATTATCTGCATCCTTTTTGGATCATACTGCAATACAAATTACCTTTAATAAAGGGCAGTGGAAAGATAGATTAAAAATTTATTGGAAACTAAATAATATAATCCTAAAGAATAAGTGGGTCAGAGAACAAATCATAGGAATAATAATTTCATTAAAGAGAATGACAACAGTGAAACAACACACCAAAATTTATGGGATGCAGCCAAAGCAGTACTTAGGTGAAAATTTATGTCTATAAATTCTTACGTCAATAAAATAGAGAGCAGATGAATGAATTGGGCATGCACAGAGAGAGAGAGAGAGAGAGGGCATGGATGTAAATCGATTATGTTGAAATGATCTCTCCCCTCAAAAAAAAAGTAGGCGTGAAAAACAGGGATGCAGTGGGAGAAGGGGGAAGGGGAGAGGTAGAATGGGGGAAATTTTCTCACAAAAAAAGAAGCATACAAAGAAGAGCTTTTACAGTGGAGGGGGAAATGGAAGGGTGGCAAGAAATGCTTGAATCTCACTCTTACTGGAATTGTTTCAGAAAGGGAAGAATACATATACATATATACACTCAATTGTGTATAGAAATATACTTTACCCCATAGGGAAATAAGAGGAAAAAGAGATAAGAGACTTGGGGCAGGGAGTGCTAAGAAGGAGGGTGGAGTCAGGTAGGCTGTGGTCAGCAGGAAAACAAACTTTTTAGGAGGGACAGGATAAAAAGAGAGGATGAACAAGAACATAGGAGAGAGGGAAATACAGTTAGTAATCATAATGGAATATGAATGAGGTGAGCTAACCGGTGACACAGAAGTGGGTAGCAGAATGGATTAGGAACCTGAAGCCATATGTTGTTTGAAACAGAAAGACATACAGAGTTAAAATACAGAGGTGGAGTAGAATCCATTATGCTTCAGTTGAAGTTAAAAAACAAAAAAGCAGCAGTAGCCACCTCATTCTCAGACAAAGTGAGAGCAAAAATAGACCTAATAAAAGAGATAATCAGGGAAATTCCATTTTGCTCTGTACCATAAACCATGAAGTAATGTCAAAAAAAAAGTACAGCAAGTTTCTTAAAGGCCTCACTTCACTTTGCATGAGTCTCCCCAGGTTTTTCTTATAGCACAAGTTCTCCATCACAATCATATGCTATAACTTCTTTGGCCGTTCCCCAATTGATGAGCACTCCCTCAACACTATAAACATTTTTGTACACACAGCACCTTTCCCTTTTTCTTTGATCTCTTTGGGGTACAGACCTAGTAGTGATATTGCTGGATCAAAGGGTATGCGCAGTTCTGTAGTCCTTTGGGCGTAGTTCCATGTTGGATCAGTTCACAACTTCACTTATTAGTATACCTATTTTCCCTCAACTCCTCCTAGCATCTGTCATTTCTAACAGGTATGAGGTGGTCCCTCAGTGTTGTTTTAATTTGCATTTCTCTTATCAATAGTGATTTAGATCATTTTTTTATATGACTATAAATAGCTTTGATTTCTTCTTTTGAAAACTGCCTGTTCATATCCTTTTACCATTTATCAATTGTGGAATGGCTCTTTTTTTTTCAATGACAACTCCCTTATATTTTAAGAAGGAAAGAATCTGGAACCCAAAATTTAAAAAAAATGTTAAAAATAATAATTTTTTTTTAAAAAAAAGAAAACAATGGGCCACCTGAGATAGAAAATGCAGTATCAAATTCCTAGAACAGCTGGAGTCCATTTTTCTTGGAATGGATACTGTGTGAATGGAGGAGTAATGTGAACTTAGACTGGAAAGTAGGTTCGAGCCAAAGTGTTAAGGGCCTTGCATGTAGGCTTATTGGTTGATATTTTATTCCAGCAGTTGTAGGGTTTTTGAGCAGGTTTTGAGCAGGGACATGATCAGGCCTATGCCTCACTTAGGAAGATCATTTTGATAGCTGTTAGAAGGATGGATTGAACCAGAAGGTATGAAAATAGTCTAGACTGAGGCAGCTAGGTAGTGCAGTGGATAGAGCTACGGCCTTGCAGTCAGGAGGACCTGAGTTCAAATCTGACCCCAGACACTTGATACTTACTAGCTGTGTGACCCTGGGCAACTCACTTAACTCTGATTGCCTAACCAAAAATAAAAAAGAAAAGAAAAGAAAATAGTCTAGACTGGCATGGAGTAAGGAGAGACTGAAGTAGGGTGATTAGTTATATGAGGGAAGAGAAAGGAGTCAATGTGGAGGATGTCTCAGATTTGAACCTCTTCTGTTACCTGTAGGATAAAATACAATCTCTGCCATCATCTATAACCCTTTAAGTCTGATGGCAGCCTATCTTTTCAGATTGATTTTGACAGAAATGGTAGGCACATCATAAGAAATAGGAAAGTCTGGAGGATGGGCGAGTCTGGTGTGGGTTGGGGTGGAAGACGATGACCTTAGTTTGGAACCTGGGCCATCCGAGTAGGACTGTGCAGTAAGTGTGTCTATCACAGGATGGAAGGGAAGCTCCTTTGGGGCAGAAAATGAAGGGAAAGGGAGAAATTAGGGCTGGGTATGTGCATTTGGAAATCATCTGCATGTGGTCAGGATTGGACCCCTGAGAGCACATGGAATCGCTGAGGGAGAGGAGGGGCCTCTGGTCAGCCCTCTGAAGGAACTTGGCCTATAGCACCAATAGGCATGGGAGAAACTAAGGGCCAGGAGGTGAAGCTCGTAGAAATGCAATAATTAACCTTTCAATTTTGTAGTTGCTCCTGAGTATTTAAAACCACTTTGAGAAATTTGCTTTATCTTTTTTTTTTTTAAGCCACAGCATCAAAGGTGAGATTCTAACCCTTGTGATTCTGTCATGGCTCTTGCTGCTACACTCAAAAGTTAATAATTAATAGTCAATTAAAAGGGAGCGGTGAAGTTATCTTGGATGTCTGTGTCTCTGTACTAAAGGTTCACCGCATCACCCTCCTACTTCACTGACTCTTTATCAGCTCTGTGGTCAAATACAAATGCCTCTGTCTGGTATTTAAAGCCTTTCAAAGCCTGCCTCCAATCTACCTTTGCAGCCTTATGATGTGTCATTCTCACAACTTTTGATTATCTCTGATTTATCCTGTCTGTGGTGTGTGTACACACATACACTCACACACACATGTGTTTGTAATTTGTACATAATTGTTTGCATTGTGTGTCCTCACCCCGGTCCCCATGAGCCTGTGGGTTCCCTTGAGAACAAAGACTTTCTTTGTATCCCTGGTGCTTAGCATAATGCCTGGCACATAGTAGGTACTCAAATTCTTGTTGACCCACCAGCTGCTAAAATGGCCTCCTTATTCTTTGTGATACATAGCGCTCTATCTGTAGTCACTAGGCTTTTGCTTGGAACACACTTCCTCCAAATCTGTTTCTTAGGATCCTGTTTTCTTGAAACTCCGTTCAGTTGCCATGTGCCACATCGGTGAAGTCTTTGCTGAGACCCCTTGCTACTAGGGGCTCCCCTATTACCTTATATCCATTGTAAATACCTATTGATTGACAGCATCTGCCTGGGCAATCTCTCATCTAAAAACAAGAGTTGAGTTTACTTGAGCATTTGCTCAGGTTTCATACTTTAGTAATACATCATTTCCTCTTTACAATAATATTCCTGTGAGGTCAGAGGTGATTATAACTGCCTGAGAGGAAACTGAGGCACAGGAGTTTATTTGTATAACCTTGCTTGAGGTTTTATAGTTTTTCTCCTTTGATTGTTCTGTCATGTCCAATTCTTTGTGACCCCATGGACCATTAGCATGCAATACCGTTTATTTTCTTGGCCAAGATACTGGAGTGGTTTGCCATTTCTTTCTCCTGTAGATTAAGGCAAACAGGTTAAGTGACTTGCCCAAGGTCACACAGCTAGTAAGTGTCTGAGACTGGATTTGAACTCCAGTCTTCCTGACTCCAGACTCAGTGTTCTATCCCCTGAGCCATCGAGCTGCCTCATTTCCTCCCTTAGAAGCTATCAAATCAAACTTAGGCATAGAGAGGTTAACTGGCCCTGCCCAGGTCACACTGCTAATGGTGGGATTTGAGCCTTAGTTTTCCTGACATTTTTATGCCTTGCCTAAGTGTGAGTCAAGTGGTCTGCGTGTTCTTCTCAATAATTATGACAAGAAATCTGGCAAAAAGCTTGAGTTTTCTGTTTCATATTCTCTTGTTTGTTGTGAATTTTTAATCCCTGCATTTCCTCAGTTGACTTTTTTGAATGGCATTTCTTTTGTCCCAGGTTGCTGCATCAACTGGACACACGGTTGTGTTAGTGGACCAGACAGATGAGATCCTGGCCAAGTCCAAAAAAGGAATTGAAGAAAGCCTCCGGAGAGTGGCCAAAAAGAAATTTGCAGAGAATCCTCAGGTAACACTTTCATCTTTATACCTTCAAATCAAACCACTTGGAAATTGATTGTGATCTTTGTATGGATGAGGTAAAGAAGTCCAAGAAGACAGCACGTTTCTGTTGAGCAAGCAGAATGGAGAGGGAGAGGGCCATCAGGCATGCTTTTGTGATTCATGAGGCCCCACGAGTGTGTTGGGAACATGGGCATCAGAGAAACCCCGATGGGGGCTCTGAGGCTGGAGAGTTCCTCAACATCTCTGGCTTGTCCTCAGCATCACTCATCTACTGCCCGTACCAGAATCCCTTGTTATGCCATTGCTTACCAGGGAGGCTGTTCTTGGTTTCTGAATCATCCTGTTGCAATTATTTCTCTTTTTTTGAGCTGTCCTATTCAGATATTTCTGAGACCTCCAGGGGCATTGAATTTGGGCTGAACACAGTAAGAAGATAGGATCTTAGGGTTGGAGCTGAAGGGAGCTCTGAGGCCATCTGGTGCAACTTCATTATTTTACAGATGAAGGAACTGACACTCCAGGAGGTTAAGTGACTCTCTTAAAGACCACTCAGAGATTAAATAGCAGACTGGGGTGCAAGCCCAGGGCTCTCACCAAATCCTGCTGTCTTTCCACAATTTTAACTTGACCCCTTGGCATTTTGAATTTGTGTAATTCTTAGTCTTCTAAGATAACATTAGAGGGGCCTTGTTGATTTTTACCAAATTTGACCAAAAAAAATACAACTTAAATTGTATTCCTGAATTAATCTACCATTCCTTACAACAGTCTCTTGCTCTATACTTACACAGTCACTACCTAGAATTTAGGCTCTTTGATTATAGAAATAGACTTCAAAAAACTTTCCAAATGGGCACACACACTAGAGTGACGTCTAGAAGAAGTACTGGAAATAACCTATAAAATAGATAATACTTGATGGAAAATAAAGGAAACATTTGAATTTGACAAAGCTTTTGTGAGACTATCCAATTTCCTCAGCCCCCTACCCTTATTGTTGTTTTTCAGCGTCCACCTCTTCATGACCCTGTGAACCGTACTATCCACAGGGTTTTCCTTGGCAAAGACACTGGATTGGTTTGCCATTCCCTTTTCAAGTGGATTAAGGCAAATAGAGGTTAAGGGACTTGCTCAGAGTCACACAGCTGAGGCTGGATTTGAACTCAAGTCTTCCTAACTGCAGCCCTAACATTCTATCCACTGAGCCACCTAGCTCCTCCTAGGCAAACAGAGGTTAAATGACTTGCCCTGGGTCACATAGCTACTTAGTATGTGAAGCCAGATTTGAACTCAGGTCTTTCTGACTCCAAACCCAGAGCTCTGTCCCCTACCTTGCCTCTAGCTTTTTCTCTTGTAATCTATTTTGTGCTGGAAAAAAATAGATAGTATAATGGAGAACAACAGTCTAAATTCAAGACCTTCTTAGAGAACTGAGCTACGGGCTTGTATTGAAAATAAGAATAAAAAGAATTATTGGGCTAGAAAGAATGATACCAAAGAATGTAGAGAAATAGATTTTGAGTACTTGAACAATCGGCATTTCTTCCTTATCAACATAAAGATTGATATGTATACGGGGGCAGCTAAGTGGTGAAGTGGATAGAGCACTGGCCCTGAGGTGAGGAGGACCTGAGTTCAAATCCGGCCTCAGACCAAACACTTGACACTTACTAGCTGTGTGACCCTGGGCAAGTCACTTAACCCCAATTGCCTTAAAAAAAAATATTGGCATGTCTGTTTAGAACTAGGCTGATAGACTAACCTCTTTGAAGTGGGATATAGGAAGATTTCATTTTCAGCATGTAGTGATATTTCCTGGGGCTCATTGTTTCTTGGTCTTCCTCACTCTGTTTCTTGGTCTTCCTCACTCTGTTTTGGCACTATGACGAAATATTTCTAAATGAAGGGTGTGACTTTTTTTCTCCTCTCTCCTCCACACTTATTAGGCTGGTGATGAATTTATTAAGAAGACCATGGGCAGCATCACTTTGAGCACAGATGCGAATTCTGTGGTCCATAGCACTGACTTGGTGATAGAAGCCATCGTGGAGAACCTGGAATTGAAAAATGAGCTTTTCCAGAGGCTGGACAAGTTTGCGGCAGAGTATGTATGCAGTCACAGAGGTGGTCCTTATTTTTCCTTCAAAACCCATCCCTTTTCCTAACTTCCTTCTTTCAGTTTCCTCTTTTCTGCCATCTTTCTAGGCATCCAGATTCTCTCCCTTGCAGTCAGCCTCAGTTTTCTCTATCTTCAGTCCCCTGAGTCTGCTTTCACAACATCTCTCCTATCTGTCCTTTTTCCTATGTGAACAGTCACCACCAGAGCCGTAGGCCCTCAGCACCTCTCACTTTGATTATGGGGATAGCCTACAAAAACCCGCATATGGTCCCTCGCATCTCAATCAGTTCTGCACAGAGTTGCTAAAATGGTATTCCTAAATCACGGATCTGACCACGTCACTCTTCTGCTTACATGTCTCTCTGTTGCTTTTAGGATAAAATATAATCTCCTCTTCTAGTATCTAGAAGCCTTCAAAATCTGATAGCAGCCTGTCTTTTGGACACATCACCTATTGTTCCCCTTGTGTGTTCCACTTCCAGCCTAATTGACCTAGTTAACACCCTTCTCTGGGTCTTCACAGGCCAGCACCCTAGAGGGCTCTTTGTCTTGCGCTAGAATTAGCTAAAATTCCTAGCTTTCTTCATAGCTCGGTTCCACCTCCTATAAGAGGCCTTTCCCATACTTTCCTGTTCTTGGTATGCTTTGCCCATGAAATTTGTTTTACAATAGAAGGTTCTTGAGGTCAGGGACTATTTCATTTTTGTCTTTGTTTCTACAGTGCCTGGCATATAGTAGTTGCTTAGTAAATGCTTCTTGAACTGAATTGTTGAATACATTCAGTATTGAGTCTCTACTGCGTGCATTCTGCATTTATTTGTCCCTTCCCACCTCCTGTCATAGGAGGTACAAAGTTGAGTAAAACAGTTTTCCCCTCAAGAGCTTTCAAGCCATTGAGGTATCTATAATGATAGTTCAGGTCTGTAAACCTTAAAGAATTATCTAAACTGCTTTCCTTCTATCATTCCTGTGAGTGCAGTTTGCATATTAAAGAACTGAGGCTTAGAAAGATTACAAGACTTGCCCAGTTAGGATGCTAGTGAGTAGCAGAGTTCAGATTCAAATCCAGGTTTTCTGATTCCAAATCTAATTATTATTACTGTATGCCATTAAAGTGGTTCAAACGAAGGCCCTAATGCATTGATCATGGGGTGTCAGGAAGGCTTCAGTGACAGAGGAGGAAATAACTTCTTGTGAAATGCTTCAGGGCAAGAAAAAGATCTTGAAGGATGGATAGGATTCAACAGATTGAAATGGTAGTATGAAGAAATTCTTGGAAGAAGCAGAAGAATGAGGCAGGAAAACATGGGGCAAAGTCAGAAAACAGTGAGGAGTCCATTTTGGATTAGGTGTGGCTTTTCATTGTTAGAGAAGCAATGTAATACAGAGGATAGAGGTCTGGCCTTAAAATCAAACAGACCCGGGTTCAAGTCCTATCTCTGCCCTTGGGCAAGTCCCTTAACTTCTTAGTGCTCTGAACAACTGTCAAAGACCGAGTTGCAGAGGAAGTGCTGTCCTGCACTGGTAGAGGGGAATTTCCTCACAAATGAGTTCAGTGGAATCACAGGATAAATCCCAACCCCTTGATTGTCTTGGACTATTGATGGACTATTTATTCAGCTTTGTCCGTCTTTCAGATGAAAATCAGGCCTACCTCAGTAGGAGGGAAACCAATGGGTCTTCAGCACATTGGACCGGAGAGTCATCATCAGGAATAGCATCTCTTCCAGTAGAGTGAATGTAGATGTTGGAATGTTTTATTACCCTTAGAAATGGAAGATGTCTCGCTTCATCCTTCTGGATGATCTCTCGTTTCATCTCTTTGAATGTCAGTTCGCTTATCTGCAAAATGAGAGGGACTGTGCTGGAAGACTTCTAGGTGTTCCCTTTCAGTTCTGTGATTCTGAAAGTAGTGTTCCTTCTCATTTTGTTTTGTTTTCTTAACTTATGTTTCTTAGGTTTCTTTGCTATGGAAGCCACAGGCTTTAAGGCGCAGCACCCTCTTGAAGGCTGTCATATAAAATCTACAGTACAAAGATAGTTATTGATGGCATGCGTAATCACCAGTGTGCTGCCTCGTACCAGGTATAAATAGTGACTAGTTCACAGAAATAACTGATGTTACTTACCCTCACCAATCCAAGAACCTGTTATCATTTGGAAGGAAGGTAGGGAAGGAACCACGTGGGCTTACCTACTGGGGACTTTCTTAGGGGCAGCTAACTAGTCTTGGACTGAGGATGACCTGAGTTCAAATACAACCTTACTAGCTGTATGATCCTGATGTCTGCCTCAGTTTCCTCAACTGTAAAATGGAGACAATAATAGTATCTACCTCTCAGCTTTATCGTGAAAACTAAAGGAAATAATATTTATAAAGCACTGAGCACAGTGCCTGGGGCAAAGTAGGCACTTAATAAATGCTTATTTTCTTACTTCCTTCTGGAAAAATTAAGACTATAGGTGCCCCCTGCCAGAGAAGAAAGGAGACTTGAACTGTAGACTCTTAATGGATTAGAAAAACTAATTAGGGGACAGGTAGGTGGCGTAGTGGATAGAGTGTCGACCCTGCAGTCAGGAGGATCTGAGTTCAAATCTGGTCTCAGACACTTACTAGCTGTGTGACCCTGGGCAAGTCACTTAACCCCAATTGCCTTAAACTCCAGTTGCCTGTATACAATATACAGATATAAGTGTATCTACTACCCTAGTAATCAGTATGGAGTAAATATAAAGATCCCATCTACTGGGATGAGGACTCACTATTTAACCAAATCTATTGGGAAAATTGGGCAGCAAAATGGAAGAAATTAGATTTAGACCATCACATTACACATTATACAAAATAAACTCCAAAAGGGGAACATCTTCAAGATATAACATGTCATATCATAAAGTTAGACAAGCATGGGAAAAAAAATCAACTATCCAATCTTAAAGGATGTTCCTCTCTTAAAGGATGTTCCTCCCTTCCCCCTAAAACATAGGTCAGTCCTTCTGAGCAAGGACCTTTCCTGCCCCAAATGTCTTGCCCAGATTGTTCAGATTTATAGCAATTAAATTAGATTCATCTTGGCTAACAAGTAAGCACCCAAGGACGGTTACAGGAATAAATATAGGAGACTATCGTAGAATAGAACTAGAACTAGAAAAAAGAGCTATATAGTTATCTCCCTCCAAACAGTTTTCCCCCCAATTGCATGTGAAAACAATTTTAAACATTATGTTTTTTAAAATTTTGAGTTCCAAATTCTTTCCCTCTCTCCTTCCCCTCCCTAATCCCTGGGATGGTTGGCAGTTTGATATAGGTTATACACATGCAGTCATGCAAAATATTGAAAGAGACTTTGGAGGCACTAGCAGTGCAGTGGGATAGATTCCTAGGTCTGGAGTCAGGAAGTCCTGAATTTAAATCTGGCTTCGGATACTGGCTAGCTGTGTGAGGAGGGATAAGTCACTTATCCTGTGTCTTCCTCAGTTTTCTTAACTATAAAATGGGGATAATAATAGCACCTATGTCGGAGGGTTGTTGTGAGGATCAAATGAGATAATATTTGTAAAAATGCTTAGTGTAGAGCCTGGAGCAAGTAGGCAGCTAAGTGGCCCTCAAGTCCAAGACCCTTATAAGCTGTGTGACCCTGGGCAAGTCACTTAACCTCTTTTTACTTTAAGCTACTGGAGAAGGAAATGGCAAATCACTCTAGTATCTTTGTCAAGAAAACTCAAGGACAAAGATCGCATAGACGTATGAACAACATGGTGAAGAAGTATGCTGTATTTACAGTCCTGATCACAAGACAGAACATTTATTTAGTGCTGACTAGGCACTATGCCAAGCATTGAGCTTGCAAATGCAAGCATACAAGAGAGCCCTTAGCCTTACAGATCTTACATGGAGGAAGACACCACGTAAGGAAGAACTGACGCTTGAGGCAGGCCCAGGCAGAGGAGGAGGAGAGCATCCCTTCAAAAGGGCAAGGCGACAGGTGACAGTGAAGAAGGAATGCACGTGCTTGGACCCCTCAAGAAGTGGTGGGCCTGACTCACCAATCCTGAGAGTTGGGTGGAGGAATCTTCAGGGTGAGGAGGCTGTTGGCCAGAAGGTAGAGGAGGCCAGAGAGTTGATCAAGCTCCTTAAAGCCAGGAACTGTTTCGCTTTGTGTGTGTGTGTGTGTGTGTGTGTGTGTGTGTGTTGTGTGCGTGTGGCAATTGGGATTAAGTGACTTTCCCAGGGTCACACAGCTACTAAGTGTTATGTCTGAGGTCAGGTCCTCCTGACTCTGGAGCCAGTGCTCTATCCACTGTGCCACCTCGCTGCCCCCCTCCCTCCCTCCCTCCCTTTTTTTTTTTTTTTTGCTTTCACTTTTGTCTTTGAATGGCCACTGCGTAGCCCAGTGCCTGGCACTTGGAAGGTCCTTAGTCAGTGTTTATCTGTTCATTGATAGTGAGCGAATTATTTAAACATCCAGGTAGTGCAGTGGGTTAGGGCACTAAGCCTGTAGTCGGGAAGACCTGAATTCAAATACGGCCTCAGACCCTGGAAGTGACGTAACCTCACTCAGCCTCTGTTTCCTCATCTGTAAAATGGGGATACTAATACCTGATTCTCAGGTTTTAATGATAAAATGAGATAGTATTTGTAAATTGCTTTGCAAACCTTATAAAGTGCTTTATAGTATTATTATGTTTAATAATTTTATTATGTGTATATAATTTGTATTGTATGTGTTCTTTATATTATTGATTATGCTTACTATTTATATTAATTATTATTAAAAGATAATGTAACAGCCACCACCTACCATCTAGGGTTGTTATGTGAAAAGCACTTTTAAAATATAGGCAGGTATAAAAATGTCAGTGTTCTATGTATGGTGACTCCCTCTCCCAAGGCAGACCATAACTCCCTAGGATTTAATAAGTAGATCCAAAGGACTTGTCTGGGGCGTTGAAAGTCACTTTACTAAGTGGCTTATCCAAGGTCCTAAACCCAGCCTACACAGATCGGTTCACTGCTACAGACCCACATCAAAATAAAATTTCCTTGCTTTTAAGTTGAGAACAGAAGTAACTCTGTATTTGAGCTTGTTTGAGAGAGTCTAATGCTTTGCCCTGAAGCAGTCGCTTGCCCACCCCTGATTCTAGACTATGGGGCAGAAGCCTACTTATGCTTACTTGAGCTAACGGTTTAAGGAAGTCCATTTGTATGCTTCAGTAATTCCCAGGGTAACCATACCTTCTGGTCCATAGTTTTTCTTTTTAGCCCATTGTTCTTTTAGTGACTGAATGATTCTGCCCCACTAGCAACGGTTGTTTTTCCTCTAGATCATGGTTGCTCCTTGAGGTCAAGCCTGTGATTCTCTTACTCTTAACAGTGATGGGTGGTCATCAAGTGTATTTAAGCCTGCCTCTTGTAGACTGCTCATTGCCTATTTTTCCACAAGGTGGCGCAATAGGAATAGGCAACTATATTTGGATTTCTTTAAGGAAGTTTTTTCATTTTTCCATTGGTACTTGTAATCCAGCCTTCGGATGTTACATTTTGTATTAATCTTGGGGGGGGGTAGATATTATTGTGAGCAGTGCATCCTGAGCACAGTCTTATCCCGTATTTCCCCCTGGATTTAATTGGAATTTTTTTCTGAACTGTATTGCAAAAAGGGAGATAATTTATATTCGTATGTTATTTGGGGAAAAAAAAGCACCATGTTTAATGTTTGCCATCCGAGTTTCCTGGGTGGAAGTTTGTTTTTAATATAAATTTATTCGGAGTTATTGTCCTTACCAGAATCCTATAATCACACAAGTCTTCCTTTCTGATGGTGGCATTCTTTACGTTGTTTGTCCTTCATTCTTGAAGAGGACTGTGACATCAGGAAGGTTATGCCATGACTTGCAAGTGAATTGGATTTAAGGGAGGGAGGGCTGTGCAAGGTTACCAACCTTATTTCTCCTCTGGAGCCATGTGGGTCCAGGGGCAAGATAGAGATCAGGATGATTAGAGATAGCCCCTCAGGGATTCTTTAAGTAGTTCTATGAAGACGTGCGGCAGTTGGGTGGTGCAATGGATAGAGAGCCCAGCCTGGAGTTAGGAAGACAGAGTTCAAATATAGCTTCAGACACTTAGTAGCTATGTGACCCTGGGCAAGTCACTTAACCCCATTTGCCTCAAACATATATAAAATGATCTAGAGAAGGAAATGGCAAATTACTCCCGTATCTTTGCTAAGAAAACCCCAAATGGGGTCACGAAGAGTTGAATGCAACTGAAACAATTCAACAACAATGAAGATTTAGGGGACTATAGACTGCCATTTTGTAGGTGAGAAAGTCCTTTTATAAAAGCAAAATATTAAGTTTCCAGGTGGGAATGTATGGGAGAAAGGATACTGGATTTGGAGGTAGGAGATCTTATGTTCGAATCTCAGCTCTGTCACTGTCTGTGTGACCTTGGGAAGATTACATGACATCTGGCATTCCTCATCTATAAAACGAGGGCATTAGACAAGGTCATCTCCAAGGCTCCTTACAACTCTAGCTCTGTGATCTTATGAACCTAAGTGGTTTTAATTAGTTAAATGGGCTTTTCAAGTTCTTCCTACCTTTCTGGTTTTACACTTTACTCTCCCCTTCTATTCCCTATCCAGTGACATTAATGTCTTTTGTCTCCCACTTTGTCCACGTTCACTGCCTTGTCTCCCTGCCTAGAATCCTCCCCTCCACACCTGGCTTCCTTTAAGCTTTCTACAATTCTACTTTCAACAAGCAGTCGCTCTTGAGACCTCTAAATTCTAGAGCCTTTCTTCTCTTGATTACTTTCAGTTTATCTTGTTTGTTTTCATGTTGTTTTCAAGCAGAGACTAATTTTATTCTTTGTGCCCCCAGCTCTTAGTGTGGTTTCTGGCTCGTAGTAAGCTTGTTGACTTGACTATGTTGATGACTTTATCATGATACAGTAAAATAGTTTCTAGGTTGTTTTTACTTTTAAAAAGTGTATGTGTATATACATATATATGTATATATATACACACACACACACACACACATACATATATGTAAGTATGTATGCATGTGTGTATACATATATATGTATATATACACACATACATATATATATATATATATATATAAAATCTCATTTTTACTAGCTTTTACTGATTTTTTTTCTTTACTGAATTTGTTTGGGACAGTTAGATAACATGTCCATTTATCCTTGTAATTTTATTTTGTTAATCCATACACAGAATAAGAGAATTTTTATCCTTTATTCCATGTGAATTAGGAGATGAAAAAAAGTGATATGGGAAGAGGCTTCCCTTTAAATCATATATTGACTTAATTTAAATCCAAACCTGGAGTTAGGAAGACAGAGTTCAAATATAGCTTCAGACACTTACTAGCTATGTGACCCTGGGCAAGTCACTTAACCCCATTTGCCTCAAACATATATAAAATGATCTGGAGATCATATGATGTGTTTCTGGGGGAATGCACTGTTTCTTCTCTTCCTTTTTCCCAAAGGGGACAGATTAGCTCATACCTAGAGTTAGTAGCTACTCAGTGTGGTGTACTTAAAACCTAAGTCCTAGTCACTGCCAATGATGTAAAATCACTTGGACATCCTATGGTTTTTTTTTGTTGTTGTTGTTTTTGTCTCTGCAGACACACGATCTTTGCCAGCAATACTTCCTCTTTGCAGATCACAGACTTAGCCAATTCTACCACCAGGCAAGACCGATTTGGGGGGCTTCATTTCTTCAATCCTGTGCCCGTGATGAAGTTGGTGGAGGTTTGTATTTGTATATATCAACATGTGTTTGCTTAGTTGTAACTCTTGACTTGTGTTGGTTTATTCTTGTGTTCAAATATGATGTTTCCATCTCTTGGAAAGCCTATCTTTTCAAAGGAGGAAGAGCAAAAGTGGGAAGAAGAGAGGGATGAGGGAGGATACAGGTAAGAGAGAATGAATGAGGGAGAGAACTATGGAGATAGCTAGGCCTTAAGGTCTTGAGTCCTGTGCTTACACCAATGGCATGAAAGATTTTGCAGCTGATAACCGACAGGCTACTATATTTGTTCGTAGGATTATGTGTGCAGGTTGAAGAAGGCAACTGATGAAAACAGTCCCCTTGAAGAATTCATGACCAAACAAGACAGAGCATTTACAGAATGTAAAATAGATAATTTCGATTATATCAAATTTAAAAGTTTTTGCACAAACACAACCAATTCAGTCAAGAAGCAGGAAACTGGAGAAAACATTGTATAGCAAGTTTCTCTGATAAAGGCTTCGTTTTTCAAGTAGAAGGAGAACTGAGTCAAATTTATAAAAGACTATGAGTCATTCCCCAGTTGATAAATGGTTGAAGGATATGAACAGGCAGTTTTCAGAGGAAGAAATCAATAGTCATGAAAAAATGCTGTAAATCATTGTTGATTAGAGAAATGCAAATGAAATCAACTCTGAGATATCACGTCATACCTATCAGATTGGTTAATATGACAGAAAGGAAAAATGACAAATGTTAGAAGGAATGTGGGAAAATAGGGACAGTAATGTATTACTGATGGAGTTGTTAACTGATTCAGTCATTCTAGAGAGCATTTTGGAATTAGGCCTGAAGGATTGTAAAACTGTATATGCCCTTTGATCCAGCAGTACTACTACTAGGTTTATGCTCCAAAGATATCAAAGAAAAAGGAGAAGGATATATATGTACAAAAATATTTATAGCAGTTCCTTTTGTGGTACAAAGAATTGGAAATTGAGGGGATGCCCATCAACTAGGGAATGACTAAACAAGTTGTGGTATACGATTGTGATGGAATACTACTGTGCCCCAGAAATGACGAGCGGGATGGTTTTAGAAAAACCTGGGAAGACTTATATGAACTATTGCAAAGTAAAGTGAACGGAACCAGGAGACCATTGTGCACAGTAACAGCAGTATTGTACGATGCCCGTCTGTGAATGATGTATCTATTCTCAGCAATACAGTGATGTAAGACAGCTCTGAAGGACTTAGGACAAAAAGTCATACCCACCTCCAAAGAAAGGACTGATAGCATCTGAATGCAGATTGAAATGTACTTCCCCCCCCACTTAATTGTATTTTATTTTTTCCATTTACATGTAAAGATCATTTTCAACATTCACTTTTATAAGATTTTTGAGTTGCAGATTTTTTTCTCACTCCCTCCCTCCCCTGTCTCCTCCATAAGACAACAAGCAATCTGCTGTAGGCTATACATGTGCAATCAGAAATATACCTTTTTTACTTTACTATTCTTGAGGGGTTTTTTTGGTCTGTTTTCATTTGCAATATGGCCAATATGGAAATGTTTTACATGGCTGTACATATATACTCTGTATCAAATTGGTTGCCTTCTCAAGGAGAGGGAAAGGAAGGGAGGGAGAGAATTTGGATTCCAAACTTTAAAAAAAAAACCAGTGTTAAAAATTTTGGTTTACGTGTAATTTAAAAAAAATTAAATATGTATAAAAAAAGAAACACTCTCCTTATTTTATGATACTCCAAAGGGGTTCAGTTCTTCACAGATCTGACACTCTTTTATTAGATAAGGTTGGCTTAGAAAGTAACCAGATTGTAGTCCCTATCCCCAGTACTCTTGGTATGAATTTATTTGGACTCTTCCTAGTGTGAGAAATTCACACTAATGTCATCATTTAGTAGAAGTCCAAGTAGAGAGTGCTGAACTGGACCCAGGTTCCAGTCCTGGCCCTGCTATTTACTGATTGTGACAAGTCACTTAAACTCTCTGGACCTGTTTTCCCATCTGTACAGTGATGGATTTGGACTCCATGACCTGTAAGGTCCCATTCAACCACAGATCTATGATCTCATATAATTGTGAACAGCACCATTAAAAATAGCTGTTGTGGCTTTGAACTTTCTTGCCCTAGGCCAGAGATGTTTGGGAACAAATGGTCAAGGAGGGATGTCTACAGTGATGCCTAATCATTTGCTGTGTTGCTTCTGTTCGTTTGCTTAGAGACTCTGTTTTAAAGGGAAATGCATTCACAATAGACAATTTGCCCCTGAAAATGTAGCAACTTGCCTTTTACAAGGGCTAATAACAGTGTCTGAAGAGTAGCAGCTATTAAAATAGTATTTATTCCATAGTTGAGGAGTTATTGCCATGCGAAGTGTGGGGGAAGGCATTCCATATACAGGGTGTTGGGTGCCAAGGGAAGTCCTGGAGACTTGTGACATGGTTCTTCCTGGGAAAGAACATTGGTGTCTGGGATTCTTTTTTTGTTTGTTTGTTTTTTGAAATTATCATTATTCTTCTTCAACCCGTCCTATATCTTTGCTTCTAAATTCACAGTTCTAGCACCCTTTCCATATAGTCCCCCTTCACTCTGACTTTTTGAATACGTTTGATTTCCTTGGTAACCTTCTGTATTTTAGTTCATTTATTTTAAAACATTTTTCTGAGAAGGGACCAGAGGGGAATGTGACACACGAAAGGTTAAGAACCCCTGGGCTTCAAAATCTCTAAGGCCTTTTCTGGTTCCAGATTCTCTGATTTTATGAAACAATCACTCTTTCTGAAGCTATACTTGAACAGCTTCCTGATATGTGGTACCATTTTTTATTGGGGAAAATGTTAAACATGTATTTAGGTGTTTGTGTGTGTTACATGCAACATGTATATTATGTAAATTATCAGTCCAAACTTAGCTAATGTTGATGTCAACAATAATGTCCACTTTTTTCTTTAGCAAGATAATGCCTCTATTAGCTGTGTGACTGAAGTTGACATTATCCTGAAAATATTCAGAAACTCTTTCCTCCATGTTATTTCAACGATTAGTCCCACATTAATGCTTACATTAGCCAGTTTCAAACTTTAGCTCTCATTTATACATAGCTTCCTTTGGCTATTGAACTTAGAAATTAGGAGGATCCTTTCAAAAGCCATTTGGCTTTCCCTTTATGGGGGTACTACGTGCTTTGCCTGTTTTCCTTGCCAAGCTTTCTACTACAACTAAAAATAGAATTATTCTTTACAAAACACCATGCCTAGTCCTGACCCTCCTCCCCCAGATCACTTTCTTCTCCTTTGCGTCTTTGACCAAACATTGGGTAAGGAGGTTATTCCATAAATTCCAACCTGGTAGCACCTACCAGCTTCATTGTCCTAGCCATTTATTTAATTAGATGTGACTGAAATAAGAAAAAAAAACCTTTTTTTTTTAAGAATAGTCTTTTTGGATTTCTTTCCAATATTTGATATCTCCAAAGTAGACTCTAATTCTTCTTCCTCTCCTCCCCTCTTTTCCATCTCCCTCCAGGTGTTACTTCATGGTTTTTTTTAGTCATACTACCACACCCCATGCTTTTAACTAATCCATGATCACATTAAAACATGATTTATAATAATACTCTACATTTATGTAGCACCTTTCATCCAAGGATCTCAAAGCCCTTTACAGACATTAACTCATTAAATTATACAACACCCCTCTGAGGAAAAGATGTGCCAAGCACTATTATACCCATTTTATAGGTAGAGAAACCAAGGCATGGAGAGTTGATTTGACTTGCCAGTAGAGTACATGAAAAAGTAGAGAGTACGAAATAAGTTTGGAAAGTTGGAATACAGCCAGATTGCACAGAACTCTGAAAGTCAGAATTCAGGGTTTTACATTTTGCTAGCTAAGCAATGGGGAGCCATTGAAGGTTTTTTTCAATAAAGGAGTAATGGGGATTAGAATAGTTATTACGTTAGAAAGATTACCTGGGTGTGAAGGATAGACTGGAGTCTAGAAGACAGGAGACAGTAGTTTAGGTGAGAAAAAAGGAGGGCCTGGACCAGATTGGTTGTAGTAGGAATGACAAGAAGGTAACTAGATACAGGAGATACTATCAGGACTTAGAATCAGTAGGATTTGGAAATTGAATAGGATGTTGTTTTGGAGGGAAGAGAAGGGTGATTGGGAGGGCTGGTGAGAGTCAGGGTGGGCTAGGGTGAAGGGTACTTATTTAGAGACAAATCTGGGTTCCCGTGGCAGCTTTGCTGCTTATTAGATGTATGACTTTGGACAAGTCGCTTCTCTCTCTGATTATCAGTTGCCTTGTGTAAAATGAAAGGGTTGTATTGGATGCCTTGTGTGATAATAGATATCAAGGATATGGGGTGGGGGGAGTGTTTCTTAGGGATGTGTTGAGTCCGAAGCCTCCTCCAGCTGGAGCAGGCAATTGTAGATACAGGGTTGGAGCTCTGGACAGAGCTTGGGGTGGAGATAGGGATTCACAAGTGTCATGCCTAGAGGTGATTATTGAAGTCTTGGGAGTAGAAGAGCTCACCAGGGAAGAAAATAGAGAGAGAAAAGAGCCAACAACAGACCCTTTGGTAGGTTAAGGAGGAAGAGGAAGAATAGTAGGAGGAATAGGAGATGGGAACGACTTGTCAGAGAGCTAAGTAGGTTGACCCATGAAAGTGGAATATCATGGAAGCCAAGAGAGAGGTAGGTAGAGCTGGTCTAAAATGTCATGCTGAGGTATCAAGAGTATTTATAATTAGGTAGAAAGTAATCAAAGCCTTGATCACAGGTAAGGATCCTTAGAGATTCTTCATTTTGCAGATGAGAAAGTCAAATCCCAGAGAGGTTAGGTGACTTAAGGTCTTAGTGGTACCAGTTAGCAGAGCTGGGATTTGAACACAGGTTCCCTCATGCTAAAAATAGGGTTCTTTCTACCATTTCATTACTTTATACAGCAGAGCCCTGCTGTTAGGCTTCCCCTTGGAACTCAGTGTATGAGCAGTGATACATACAGACTAGTTTTGCACTTGCTTTTATAGGGTTTTGTGGACCAGTGCTATTGATCATTTCCTCATTTTGTCCTCTTAATGTCTCTATTTGAACAACTTTCAGGCCATTACCATTTTATGCTTTGTATTACCAGGTCATCAAGACACCAATGACCAGCCAGAAAACATATGAATCTCTTATGGACTTTAGCAAAGCTTTGGGAAAGAGTCCAGTATCTTGCAAGGTAAGCTAAGAGTAGTTTGGAGAATGGGTGGGCTTTAATCTGGAATTTTAGGGGTTTTAGCTTTTCTTCCTTGGAGTATTTGCTGTTTTCTGGCTTGAAAAAGAGCTCTATTAGTGATTAGATATGATTAGAAAAATACTCCCATTCTTCTTCCCCTTCCTCTTCCCCCTTTTTTTCCTCCTTTTCCCTTTCCTTCTCTCCCCTTTTCTCTTTCTCTTTCCCTCTTCCCCTTCCCTTCCTTCAGTTTTTCTCCTTTCTTTCTTCTTTCCTCTTTCCTCTTTCCTTCTCCTTTCTTTGTTCTTTCATTCTCCTTTCATCCTTCCTTTCTTTCACATTTTCTTTCTTTATACTCTTTTTCCCCTCCCCTCCCCTTCCTTCCCCTTCCTCTCTCTCTCTTTCTCTTTCTCCCCCATCTCATTTTTTTTCCTTCTCTCTCTGCCACACATAAACCACCTCAAATCACAGTTGTATAATTTAGACTCAGTCTGGTAGAAGCGTACAGTTCTTATTAATTGAAATTTTTGAACCGATGAGAAATTGATGTTTTCCCTCCCGTAAAAAAGAGCATCCATATGTTGTTTCATGGTATTTCAGTGTTCCCCCACCCCCACCCCCAAGCATTTTTTTATCGTTTTTAACAGATGTGTGTGTTGTTGCCAATCATTATTGGGGGTGGGGGCTGTCCTCACCAGAATTGCCCTTCTTTTACACCCATCTTCCCCCTACTACACAGCTCCCCTCCAAAGAAAAGAAAAAAAACCCCTTCATTTTATATAGTATTTTAAGATGTGTGATGTGTTTTACTCATAGCAACCCTGTGAGGTGGATAATACAAGTATTAGCCTCATTTTATAGCTGAGGAAGCATCGGGCTCACACGTAACACCAGCCTTATGAGAAGTTTCAAAGAGAGTGACCGACTCCCCCTTCCCCTGCCACCCCCTTCCACCTCCATAGGAGTGGCAGGCAGGACATCCCTTACTTCTGGAGAAAGCATTGGGACTATTTGCTGGTCCAAAATTCTAACACTGTACTGCACGTGGTCAAGATGGCTAGATTTTTGTTCTCTAGTCTAGAGGCTAAAAGAGGATCCTGAGAAAAGAATTTTACAAGGGCTTTCTTGCACCCTGTGGGAACAGTTGATAACAAAAGACTTCACTGGCCCAAAGCCTGTCCCCCAGCCCATGGAGCAGAGGGGGATAGATTGTGGCATAAACATTACGGTGTATGAAAAGAGTCCCAGCTAGGTTGGAAAATCGCTCCTGTCTCCAGTGAAGAAATCAGAAAATTCCTTGTCTGTTCTCTAGCTTTATGAAACCACATGAGTTTCACCATCTGTAAACTGGTCTTGGGCTTTTGTTTTTAAATCACTAGCATTTGGTAAAATGGGTTAAAGTCATTAAAATAATGTGGAATTTGAAGTAAATTTTCAACAATATGTATTGTAGGAAGTGAGAAGAAAAAACAGATAATCTGTCCTTCTACCCTTAATAAAAAGGCAATGTGATTATCTTTTATCTTTTATTATCTTTTATCAAAATTTTATATTATTTCATTTTATCAGAGCTTTAAAATTTTTTATTGACAAAGTATTGTGATTATCTGACACTCTTTTTCTTTCTTCCCCCCAATAAAACAGGATAGCCCTGGATTTATTGTAAACCGTCTCCTTGTACCATATCTTATGGAAGCAATCAGGATGCATGAAAGAGGTAATTTTCTACCCTTTATTTTGCAAAAGGCTAACATTGCCAAACTACATGTGGGACTGCATTCCTGGAGTCATTCTTAGAGTTTATCTTGGAAGGCTAGGGACAGTGTACATTGTACTAGGAGTCACTGATGAGCTGTGTGACCTTCGTGGAATCATTTAAACTCTGTGTGTGGGCTGTAGTTTCCCCATCTGTGACACTAAGGGGCTGGACTAGATGACATTCTAAACTCCCATAACCTCCACATTCATTCCACACAAAGGGTTTTGGTGTGTTGATAAGTGTCTCATTTCTGTGATCCAGAACACCATGCTGACCATAACATCTCCCTGTGCCTCATTCCTCTTAAACCTATTTTTCATATTCATTGTGAGCTCCATTCTCTGCTTTGGTACCTGTTCTCCTAGTTCCTCTGTCCTCAGTGTTGACCCTTGACCAAAATAAACATATACTATTTGGGGGGGGGAGGCTAGGCAATGGGGTTAAGTGACTTGCCCAGGGTCACACAGCTAGTGGCAAGTGTTTGAGGCTGGATTTGAACTCAGGTCATCCTGAGTTCAGGTGCTCTATCCACTGTGCCACCTAGCTGCCCCAACGTATACTATTTTAAAAATTATTTTTATTTCACTAGATATTTCCCAATTACATGTAAAACATTTTTAAAACTTGAGTCCAAATTCTCTCCCCCGCCTCCTACTTGAGAAGGCAAGCACTTTGATTGAGATCATACATATGAGGTCATGCAAAGCATAATTCCAAATAAAATAAAATAAAAGTAAAGAAATTTTTAAATTTTTAATCTTTTTTATTTTAGACTTAAATACATAATAAGAACAGAAAAAATATAAACTTAAATATTAAAACTTAAGTATAAGATGAGAAAAGAAAAAACATGTCATGTGCACAGCAGAATGTAAGAGAGAATTCAAAACATATAAAGAATTTTTTTTTTTTAAAGTATGCTTCAATCTGTATTCAGAGTTGATCAGTTTTCTTCCTGAAGGTGGGTAGCATAAGTACTTCAGAATTGTCATTGAAAAAAATAGTTAAGTCTTTGATCATCCTTACAGTATTGCTGCTACTGTGTACAGTGTTCTCCTGGTTCTGCTCATTTCACTTGCATCAGTTCATATAAGTCTTCCCATGATTTTCTTTTTTTCTTTCTTTTTTTTTTTTAATTTTAAATTTCTATTTAAAAAAATTTTTTTTTCCATATGCTTTTGAGTTGAAAATTTTTCTCCCTTTTTCTCCCCCCACCCTCCCCAAGACGGCGCACAATCTGACATAGGCTTTACATTTGCATACCCATTAAACATATTTTCACATTAGTAAAGTTGTAAGTAAAAATTAAAACCAATAGGAGGAACCATCAGAAAGATGAAACAAAACTCAACAGAAGGTAAAAATAAGTGAGAGCGATTCAACTTCCATAGTTCTTTCTTTGGATGTGGACAGCATTTTCCATCCTGAGGCCTCTGGAGATGTCTTAGATCCTTGTAATGCTGAGAGGGGTTCAGTTTAACATTCTTAGTCATTGCATAATGTGGCTGCTATTGTGTACAAAGTCCTCTTGGTTCTGCTCACTTTACTCAGCATCAGACCATATAAGTCTTTCCAGGTTTTTCTGAAGTCAGTCTGTTCATCATTTCTTATAGCACAATAGTGTTCCATTACATTCATATACCACAACTTGCTCAGCCATTCCCCAGTTGATGCGCATCCTCTCAATTTCCAATTCTTTGCCACCACAAAAAGAGCTGCTATGAATACTTTTGTACATGTGGGTCCTTTTCCCATTTGTTTGATTCTTTGGGATATAGCCCTAGAAGTGCTATTGCTGGATCAAAGGGTATGCACATTTTTGTAGCCCTTTGGGCATAGCTCCAAATTGTTCTCCAAAATGGTTGGACCATTTCACAACTCTACCAACAATGTATTAGTATTCCAATTTTCCCACATCTTCTCCAACATTTATCATTTTCTGTTTTGTCATGTTGGCCAATCTGATAGGAGTGATGTGGTACCTCAGAGTTGTTTTGATTTGCATTTCTCTAATCAATAACGATTTAGAGCATTTTTTCATATGACTATAGATGGCTTTAATTTCTTCATCTGAGAACTGTCTGTTCATATCCTTTGACCATTTATCAATTGGGGAATGGCTTGTGTTCTTATAAATTTGTCTTAATTCTCTGTATATTTTAGAAATGAGGCCTTTGTCAGAAAGACTGGTTGTAAAAATTCTTTCCCAATTTTCTACCTTCCTTCTAATCTTAGTTGCATTGGCTTTGTTTGTGCAAAAACTTTTCAATTTAATGTAATCAAAATTATCCATTTTGCTTTTCATAATGTTCTCTATCTCCTGCTTGGTCATGAATTCTTCTGTTCTCCATAGATCTGATAGGTAAACTATTCCTTGTTCTCCCAGTTTACTTATGGTATCAGCCTTTATAACTAAGTCCTGAACCCATTTTGACTTTATTTTGGTATATGGCGTGAGATTTGGGTCTATGCCTAGTTTCTGCCATACTCTTTTCCAGTTTTCCCAGCAGTTTTTTTCAAAGAGTGGGTTCTTATCCCAGAAGCTGGGGTCTTTGGGTTCCAGGATTTTCTGATACCATCATGCTCGTCATTTCTTATAGTACAACAGTATTCCATTACAATCATTACACAGCTTGTGTTCAGCCTTTCCCCAGTTGATGGGCATCCCCTCTATTTCCAAATCTTTGCCACCACAAAAAGAGCTGCTTTAAATATTTTTATACATATTAAGTCCTTTTCCCTTTCCTTTGATATTTTTGGGATACAGACCTAGTAGTGGTATTGCTGGGTCCAAGAGTATGCACCATTTTATAGCCCTTTGAGCACAGTTGCAAATTGTTCTCCAGAATAGTTGGACTAGCTCATCTATCCACCAGCAGTGCGTCAGTGTCCCAGTTTTTCCACATCCCCTCCAGCATTTGTCATCTTTCCTTTTTGGTCATGTTAGCCAGTCTGATAGGTATGAGCTGGTTTAATCTGCATTTCTCTAATCATCAGTGATGGGGAGCATTTTTTATGTGACTATAGATACTTTTGATTTCTTCTTCTGAAAACTGCTAGTTCATATCATTTAACCATTTATCAACAGGGGAATGGCTTTTATTTTTATAATTTGGCTCAGCTCTTCATGTATTTGAGAAACGAGACCTTTATCAGAGAACTTTGTGGTCAATTTTTTTCCCCACTTCCCTGTTTTTCTTCTGATTATGGCTGCATTATTGTTGTTTGTGCAAAAGCTTTTTAATTTCATGTAATCAACATGATCTGTTTTACTTCCTGTGATCTCCTCTACTTTCTTGTTTGTTCATAACTTTTTCCTTTATTGAATAGGTCTGACAGGTACATTTTTCCACGCTCCCCTAATTTACTTTATGTCCAAATCTTTTGCCTTTTTTTTTTACCTTACCTTGCTATACAGTGTGAGATTTTGGTTGATGCCTAGTTTCTACCAAACTGTTTTCCCAGCAATATCTGTCAAATGTTGAGTTCTTGGGGCAGTTAGGTGGCACAGTGGATAGAGCACTGGCCCTGAATTCAGGAGGACCTGAGTTCAAATCTGGCCTCAGACACATAACACTTACTAGCTGTGTGACCCTGAGCAAGTCACTTAACCCCATTGCCTAGCAAAAAGAAAAAGAAAAAAAAGAAAAGACAAATGTTGAGTTCTTACCCCCAAAGCTTAGATCTTCGGGTTTATCAAACACCAGATTACTATGGTCATTTGTTACTGTGTGTTATGTACTTAATCTATTCCAATGATTCACCACTCTGATTCTTAGCCCAGACTGGTTTTGGTGATTACTACTTTGAATATAGTTTAAAATCTGGAACTTCTAGGCCACATTTTTTTCATTGATATTTCATATTTTATTACTGTTCTTCCTAGCTCGACAAAATTATTCTTTTGTAGTTTAATTGGCATGGCACCAAATAACTAAATTAAATTAGATAGAATTGCCATTTTTATTATATTGGCTCAGCCCATCCATGAACAATTAATACGTCTTCAGTCATTTAGATGTCTTTCTTCGTGTGAAACGTATTTTGTAATTGTGTTCATATACTCCCTAGGTTTGTGTTGGCAGGTAGATTCCCAAGTATTTTATATTGTCTGTATTTAAAATTGAATTTCTTTTTCTATCTTTTCCTGCTGGGTTTTGAAACTAGTATATAGAAATGGGTTTATTTATAGATTTATATGGGTTTCTTTTATATCCTGCAACTCTGATGAAGTTGTTGATTGTTTCTGCGATGTTCTGAGTATACCATCTGCGAATTAAGTATGTCATCTGCAAAGAGTGATAGTTTTGTTTCCTTATTGCCTATTTTTATTCCTTCAATTTCTTTTTCTTGTCTTATTGCTCTAATTAGCGTTTTTAATACAATATTGAATAACAGTGGTGATAATAGACATCCTTGTTTCACTCCTGATCTTATTAAAAAGGCTTCAAGTTTATCCCCATTACAGATAATTCTTGTTCTTGGCTTTAGATAGACACTACTTATCATTTTAAGAAAGATTCCATTGCTTCCTATTCTTTCTTGTATTTTTTAATAGGAATCAGTGTTGTATTTTTGTCAAAGGCTTTTTTTCTGTATCTGTTGACATAATATGATTTTTATTATTATTATCGATATGGTCAATTGTGCTGATAGTTTTACTGATATTCCTGGTATAAATCCCACCTGGTATAGCGCATGATCTTTGTGATGTATGACATAATGTGCTTGCTAGTATTTTATTTAAATTTTTTGCATCAGTGTTCAATAAAGAAATTGGTCTGTCATTTTCTTTTGCTCTTCTTCGTTTAGGTATCAAAACCATATTTGTGTCATAAAAGGAAGTATGACTGTTTCTTTACCTATTTCTTTGAATAGTTTTTATAGTATTGGGATTACTTAAATGTATTCACTTGGGAATCCATCTGGTCATGGGGATTTTTTCTTAGGGAGCTCATTGATAGCTTGTTTAATTTCTTTTTTTGAGATAGAGTAAGTATTCTACTTCCTCTTCTGTTCATCTTGGCAGTTTATATTTTTATAAATATTCATCCATTTCACTTAGATTGCCAGTTTTACTGGTGTATAATTGGGCAAAATAACTCCTAATAATTTCTTTTATTTCATTTTCATTGATTTCATTCATTTACCCTTTTCATTTCTGATACTAGTAATTTGGTTTTCTTTCTTTTTTAAATCAAATTAACCAGTGGTTTATCAATTTTATTGGTTTTCCCCCCATAAAACTAGCTCCTAGGTTTATTTATTAGTGCCGTGGTTTTTTACTTTCAATTTTGTTAGTTTCTATTTTGATTTTCAGGATTTTCATTTTGGTGTTTAATTAGAGATTTTAATTTTTTTTTTACATTGCGTACCCAATTAATTGTTGTGTTCTTTCTTTTGTTGATATATGCATTTAGAGATATACATTGTGCATCCCACAAATTTTGGAATGTCATCACTTTCTTTGATGAAATATTTGTTCTTTTACCCATTCGTTCTTTAGGATTAGATTATTTAGTTTTCAATTAGCTTTTATTCGATGCTTCCACAGCCCTTTATTAAATGTAATTTTAATTGCATTATGAACTGAAAAGGATACACTTAATATTTCTGCTTCTCTGCATTTGTTTATGAGTTTTTTGCACCATGACCAGTTTTTGTGAAGGGGTCACGTCCAACTGAAAAAATAGGTATACTCCTTTCTGTTCCCATTCGGTTTTTTTATTAGACCACAGGTCTATCATATCTAATTTTTCTAGAAGTCTGTTTATCTTTGACTTCTTATTTACTTTTGGTTAGATTTATCTAGCTCTGAGAAGGGAAAGCTGAGGTCCCTTTCTACTGTAGTTTTACTATTTCCTGCTGTAATTTTTATTTATTTTCATTATTTGAACACTTTTTCATATGGTTGTTGATAGCTTGCTTTTCTTCTTTTGATAACTGTACTAAGCCTCAATTTACTCACCTGGAAAATGGTAAGATGATGATGATGATGATGATGATGATGGGGGGGCATCCCACAAAGTTTAGAGATTCAGATGAGATAATGTATGTAAAGTGCTTTACTGCCCTTAAAAGCTCTAATGTCAGAGATTCTTAAAAAGAAGTCCATGGATAGATTTCAAGGATCCATGAACTTAGGGGAAAAAAATTTATCTCTATTTCAATAAAACTGATTTCCTTTATAATCCTATGTCTTTTATTTTTACATTTAAAAACATTCTGGAAAGGGCTTCAACAGACTGCCAGAAGTGCCATTACAGAAAAAAGGTGAAGAACCTCTGTTGTAGATAAATATCAGATGTTATTCTCATCTCCCACTTGTCAGCCCTTGCGTAGGTGGTTTCCCATATCAGATTATCCTTAGCTTTCTTTCACACCCAGCTCAGGTACCACATTCTACATGAGGTTTTTCCTGATCTCCCTCCATCCTCAGTTGATAATGTTCTTTCCCTCATGAAATTACTATGAAGTAATTTAATGTACATTGCACTCTTCTGTGCCCCTGTAGTAGAACATAGCTCAGAGGGGGATTGCTTTTGGCTTTGTGTCCCCTGTGTCTAACACTGTGCACAGCATACAGTAGGTAATAAATGCTTGTCCAATTGAAGGATCTTCCCACTTGAACATTCCATGGGGTTCTAAGGACTTCTGTCTGCCTCTCGCTCATGGCTATGTTACCATCTTCTTATCAATGACCCACTGGGACTTGAGAAGCTTCTTGAATCCCTCCTTATAGATCAAAAAAAAATAGGGAAGATCCTTAGTTTACCTACCTGAGAAATAGACAGCTTGGGGGGAAATCACCCAGAGTGAAATGAAATGCTTCCTCCCACTTGTCCCTCCCCCAGTTCTGGGAAGATAACTATCATGTCTGCTTCAAAGGCAAACATGCTTTAATTCGACTGGATAAAAAGCAGCATAATTGTTTTCAATTACTCCATTCACAATTGCCTGCTCCTGAGAATGTCACTTTTGAAACAAAACATTTTTAACTGGCACTTCCTGAGAGATGAAAGCACGTTTGCTTTTATGAAAATCTTTTTTAAATATCAAAACTTTTGCCCCTGTTTTCTGGAAGCAATTGCTTCACTTTCCCTCCAAGATCAAACCAACATTTCTGTTTATCCATCAACAAATATACCTAATTACTCCTCAAAGGGAGTGAGAAGCAATTTGTGCTGTCTTGAAAGACAGTTTCTTTTAATAAAATACTCTATTTTCGAATAAAGCATGTGGGTGACCTAGCCTTATTAGCTTTATTCTCACAGCAATATTCTGTCACTTAAAAACAATTTTAGAGATACTATGTCTGAGTGTAAATCATAAGAATTTGTTCCCTTTTCTCTTCTCCTTCGTCTCTTCCTCCTCCTCCTCCTTCTTCTCCTCCTCCTTCTTCTCCTTCTCTTTCTCCTTCTCCTTCTCCTCCTTCTCCTTCTTCTCCTTCTCCTCCTTCTCCTTCTCCTTCTCCTTCTCCTTCTCCTTCTCCTTCTCCTTCTCCTTCTCCTTCTCCTTCTCCTTCTCCTTCTCCTTCTCCTTCTCCTTCTCCTTCTCCTTCTCCTTCTCCTTCTCCTTCTCCTTCTCCTCCTTCTCCTTCTCCTTCTCCTTCTCCTTCTCCTTCTCCTTCTCCTTCTCCTTCTCCTTCTCCTTCTCCTTCTCCTTCTCCTTCTCCTTCTCTTCTCCTTCTTCTTCTCCTTCTCCTCCTTCTCCTTCTTCTCTTTCTCCTTCTCCTCCTCTTTCTCCTTCTCCTCCTCTTCCTTTTCCTTCTTCTCCTCCTGCTTCTTCATCTTCTTCTTCTCCTCTTTATCCTCCTTCTCCCTCTCCCTCTCCTTCTCCTTCTTCTCTTCCTTCTTCTCCTTTCTCTCTCCTCCTCTCTCTCTCTCTCTCTCTCTCTCTTCTCTCTCTCCTCCTCTCTCTCTCTCTCTCTCTCTCAAGGCTAGAAAGCATTTTAGTCCAGAGGTTCTTAATCTATTTTTTTTTAATATCATGGGGCCACCCTCCCCCATGGCGTTTGGTGACATCAATGGACCACTTCTCAGAATAATGTTTTTAAATGCATAAAATAAAATACATAGGACACAAAGTAAATTTTTACAAATCTGAGGACTTCAGGTCAAGAATCTCTGAACTAGTACCAAGCCCTCATTTTTCAGAATGTACATCTTTGGCCTCCCAGTTCACTGGGCTGCTGACTTGGTCTCTTTTCTTGCTGTTTTCACTGCCTGCGATGCTGGTGTGGGGAGCCGGCACACTGTGTACAGATTAAAGAGGCAGCGTGTGGCAGAAAGCCTTCCTTACCTCAGGAGTGGTGGACTGGCTGGCTTCCCGAAACTCATCCTTGTTTTGCTATGGATGTTGTCATTGTTCATGCCAGCTCTGATGTTTGCGGTGGGTCCTTGTTTCCCAGCCATTTCACTGTGGTCTGTAGCCTGATGCACATTAGCAGGCCAAGTGCATGGTAGGCTTGGTAGCTTCTCTGCATCATACTACCTGATGTGAAAGTTGTGCAGACCCTGCAAAGTCAGCAGGTTTTGTGGGTTTGGTACCCACTTGATATTAGTGTCTAGAGCACAGGAGCTCTCAGATATCTTAGTCGTATCTCAAGAATTTTAGTTATTATTTGGTTATTGTTTTTCATGACATGGAGTTGGGAGAGGTTGCCAGATGGCTGTATTCTATTTGCCACTCTTGGAATTACTAGGATAGGGATAAGACCTTCATTGGAAAAGGGAACTCCCTAGAAGAAGAAACTTTCTCTACCAATACAGGTGGTACCTCCTCCACCACTTAGTTTTAGAGTTGCCTGGGGGACACTAAAACTTTATTTTGCCCAGACTCCTAGAGCCAGAAGGCATCACAGGCAAGATTTGACCCCAGATTCTGAGGCAGGCTTTCTATCAACTATGTCACATACATAACCTCTTAGTAGTATGATTTAAGTGTGATTTCCGGACTCCAATTCAAAGAAAAGGGACAATTTTCTGTCCTTCCCAAGTCAGAAGTATTAGTACCACATTTTGGGGGTGTGAAATGAATTGAGATGAGAGCTCATCAAATCCAGCAAGTCTTGAAATAGTTTTAGAATCTTAGTGTGCCTTTTGGCTGATAGCCATCAAAAGCTTCTGTAATGAAAATTTATAAGGCGATGTTTGCTCAGCTAGCTTCTGGCATAAAATTTGTCCAGCAGCTAAGTGGTACCAAAGTGCAGAGCACCGGGCCTGAGGTCAGGAAGAACTGAGTTCAAATGGACACATACTAGCTATGTGACTCTGAGCAAGTTACTTGAGTTAACCTCAGTTTCCTCAGATATAAAATGAGGGTAGTAATGCGCCTACCTTGCAGGGTCCTTATGAAGGTCAAATGAGATAATATTTGTAAAGGGCTTAGCACAGTGCCTGGCACATAGGAGGCACAGTATACATGCTTCTTCCCTTCCCTCCCTAACTAAGCAGAGTAGAAGGGTTGAAGGATGACAGTGATTGAGAATGAACCTTTTTCTCTAGGGGATGCATCAAAAGAAGATATTGATGTAGCCATGAAGTTGGGAGCTGGTTACCCCATGGGCCCATTTGAACTCCTGGACTATGTTGGTCTAGAAACCACAAAGTTCATCGTGGATGGTAAGAAGTCGCTTCCCCCGCGCCAGGGTAGGCAAATTATAGCCTACTCCAGAACAACAAAGACTTTAAAAAACTGAAATGAGAAGGGATTTGAGTGACCAGTAGTACTGAAGTACCTCACCCCTTCTTACCACATTTCAGCTTGAGAGTGGAGTTAATAGGTGCCAAGAGAGAAGAAAGTGTTTGTGTAATCGTCCACCATTTCTCCTTTAAAAAGACACTCCTTTTTATGGGGTGAATCTAGTGACCCCAACAAAATGGTGCATCCTAGTATTACTGCTGACTTCCACAAGATGGGGCTAAGAGAGAGAATGGAGAAGAGACAGCCTAGATATTGGACTTGGGAGATTGAGTCTTCTGGCATGTGACATATTGTCAGCAGCAAATTCAGTTCTTTGAATATGGGTAATGGAAAAAATAAACATTCATTAGTGAGAGACTCTTTAAGCAAACTCCCTACTGGCCTCCTCATAACCCAAAGAGGATAGATATATTCTTTGTAGTATAGATAGATGGATGGATGGATGGAAACAACCCAACCAATATATGAGAAAATCTTAAATCTAACAAATGATTAGAAAATAAAATAAGGTGCTGAGTAGGGAAGCTTCTGGATAGAAAGATTCTAGAGGGAAAATTAAGGTCTGCTTGGCTTTTTTAAATTTATTTTTGTTTATTTTATTTTGTATTTGTTGTGTTTTTATTTTACTTGTTTTATTTACTTTTATTGTTTTATTTACCCTTTTGTGAGTAGAAAGCAAAATAAAGAAAAAAGTAACCAACATTGTGGCTGATTCTGACAATGTAAGCAACATTCTGCACCTGTACTTCCCCCCCACCCCCTTTTCTATGAGAGGGAGGAAGTAGGTTTCAGGTTTGATTCACTTATATATAAAGTGAAGTGGATAGTGATAAGGTTGATTTATGGGGAAGATTTTTGGTTGGTGACATTTTTCATCCCTTTTGTATAACCACCTTAGTATTTTAATTTCTGCTCTTACTCAAAGAACTTACTGTTCAGTGCAGAGTATCACCATTTCTTCCTAATCTTAGATACAAGCCAGAGCTCCAGGAATATAATACAGGAATGACAAGGTCAGTTTTTAATGATAGACCTTTTATTTCCTCTCTCCTTCTCATTAGGCTGGCATAAAATGGATTCGAAAAACCCATTATTCCAACCCGTCCAAGAGCTAAATAAATTGGTAGAAGAAAAGAAGTTTGGCAGGAAGACAGGAGAAGGATTTTACAAATACAAATGATCCCCTTGGTGTCTCGAGTGAGGAAGTCTCTGTCCGCAGACACCAGTTGGCCATCTCAAGAGCCCGGTGGGAATGCTTGGTCAGAAGTTCCCTCACCCAGCCTGCCCTGATCTTTGTGCATTTTGATTGTTATCTCTCTGAAGATTATTTTGCACTCATTATATAATAACAAATTTCTCCATTTGGGAGCTAATTTTTTATTTTATTCTGCTCAAATTTTCTATAAGTTTTATGCCCTTTGTGCCTTGGAACAAATGATGCCTTTGACTCTGTTCATTTTCTTGTAAAATTATATGCTTATTAAGAAAGTGGCACCACTTCATGTCTTCTCCTATTTGGGGGATGCATGTACCATAGGTGTCTTGTACCTCTGTCTGTGTGTATGTGCGTGTTTTAAGCTGTGCTTACTCTCATCCAGCAGGTGGCAGTATGTACCTGGCCTTTTAGGAGACCATGCGCATATACCTTACTCCCTTAGGAGGTTTCACCATGTTGCTAGCTTCAAATTTGAAACAATCTGACCAGACACCGAAGAATAGAAACTTTGGTTTTAATTCAGCCCTTTTTCAGAAGAAAAACAATCCTATGATATTGCACTTAATGGAGAATTGGTACCATTTTTCTGGATTTCCTAATTATTCACTTTACTTTCCAACCCTTTTGGAAACCACTGTATAGATTGGATTTGTTAAAAATGTACACTTTTTTAAAAAACAAAATTTAATAAAACTCAAGTAATGATAAAAGTGCAGTTTGGTAATTTAAGACAAATGCTCTGGGCTTAAAAATTTTCCCCCAGAAATGGCATGAAGGTAGGGACATAGGAAATAATTCTGGTCTAGATCTTCATGTGGCTATCATTTTCATGGTTGCTTTTCCTTCTCGGTTATAAAAAGAGATCTCTGATTATTTAAGATGATGTCAATTACTTTGAGTAAAGGAATCTAGGCTTCTTTTAATCATTGTTTGAAGAGGTGTCTTCAAAGATGTGGAGTGTCAGGATTGGAAAAGATCTTAAGCATTGTCTAGTTCCACTCCATAATTTTACAAATGGGGAAACTGGGGTCCAGAAAAGTTAAATGAGTTGACCAAGGTCACACAGCTGAGCTGGGAATTAGAACCTCAGTAGTAGATGACAAGATAAAGTACTGGGATGAAGCTGGGGGAAAAAAAACACAACAACCCACAGACCTATTCCCTCCCCACCCCCCAGCAAAAGTCATTGTTAGTATATATTGGGTTAAAAGTTCAATGCTAGGGAAATGGGAGAAGGGAAGGGAACATTTTTTCTCTAATCACACATTAGCAAAAAAAAGAAATTCTTTCAAATAAAACTAAAATGAGCACGTACCTCTGTGTGTGTGTGTGTGTGTGTGTATACATATATATGCACACATATCAATCTTCAACATATATGGGGATATATATGTATGTATATCATTTGATGAATGTACACTCAGAACAGTCTAAAGAAATTGAGGCTTCTCTGAACATTTTTATAAAATGTTTCCTAAGAAAACAAAGGAAACACCTGTATAGCTGCCCCTCTTTCCATTTAATAAAGGTTAACCATGTGGTCTAACAACTCTGGGCTCTTTTTTTTTTTTCAGACTGGTTCTTGACCTTTTTGCTCAATCCCTGGGCAGAGGAATGTGCTTTTTCCTCCCCTTCAAAGGGATTAGTGGAAGGCCTCTGGGTCTGACTGTCTCAGCTTAGTCACCAAAGGATATGGTGCCTTGCCCTGGATACTGAAAGGCTTTTCATGAGTCCTGAAGGCCAGGAAAGGGCAGCTTAAGAATCTAAGAGCCAGGCTCTTTACACCCAGACTCTGCCTAAAATGGGAGAGTGTGGGTGGGGTCGTGCCGACTTTTCATTTGCTCAGGAAAAATGAAAGGCCTGGGTTCAAGAAAGAATCAAACTCTTAGAATCCCCATCTGTGCAGGCTGTTTTTATTGACAAAATCACAGCTCGAGAGGTGGAAGAAAAGTAGAAGACATCTCTATAGCACCCTTGTTTGTTGAGGAAACTGAGGCTCAAGAATTTAACACAGTGTCAGAGGTTGTATGGTTTGCCCTTCATTCTAAAAGGGGACCATGGCATCAGGAAGGTGATGCTATGACTTGCAAGTGAATTGGATTTAAGTGAGGCAGGGCTGTCCAAAGTCGCCAGCCTCTAGAACATAATCAATAGAAGGAAGGTACTAGCACTAAGGGTGATGGGGAAAGACCTTCTCTAGATGATGGGATTTTAGCTGGGACATGAAGCCAGGAAAGCTAGGAGGTGAAGATAAAGAGGGGAGAGGATTCCAGGCATGGGGAACAGTCATTTAAAATGCTTGGAGTAAGGAGATGGTGTGTGAGGAATGGTAAGGAAGCCAGCATCTTGGTTCCCAGAGTACATGGTGTAAGAAGACTGGAAAGGTAGGAGGGGGCCAGATCATGAAGAGCACTGAATTTTAAATAGAGATATTTTATATTTGCCCCTACATGTGTTAGGGAGCTACTGTTTATTGACTAGAGAGATGATATGGTCATATCTGCTCTTTAGGAAAATTAATTTGACAACTGAGTCGAGGACGCACTTGACGTGGGCAGACTCACCGGCAGGCTACATCACTAGTCCAGGTGTGAAGCAATAAGGACCTACTAGAATGGTGGGAGTATCAGGTAAGACGGGACATACTTGAGAGATGTTGCAAAGGAAAAATCCACAGGCTTTGGCAATAGGGGTGAAGGGGCAGGGTGCTGCTGAGAAAGTGAGTTTAGGATGGTGATTAGGCCATGAGCTTGGGGTGACTGGGAGGATGGTGGTGCCCTAGAAAGGAAGTTCAGAAGGGGGAAAGGGAAAGATGAGAAGTTCAGTTTTGGACGTATTGAATTTAAGATAACTATGAGACATCCAGTTTGAGATTGAAGTCTAGCGGTCCATAGTGATGTTAGGGCTAGATAAGTAGATCCAAGAATCATCACCCATGGAGAGGATAATTGATTCCATGATAGCTGATGAAATACCCAAGTGAAATGGAAGAGAGGGAGAAGAGAAGAGGGCCCAGACCAAAGCCCTGGGGGAAACCCATAATTAGTAGCCATCACTTGGATGAAGAGACAGCAAAGAAAACTTCAGAGTCGTCAAACGAGTCAAAGAACCAAGAGAAAGCAGTGTTGAGAAAACCTAGAGACAAGATGGGCAATGGGAAGGTGGTAGCTGGCGTCATCAAAGGCTGAAGTCAAGGGACAAGTGCTGTGTAAAGGCCATTAGATTTAGCAATTAAGAGATGGTTGGTAACTGGAGACAGCAATTTCAGTTGAATGAAATCAGAAGCTAACAGAGTGGAAGGAAAGGAAGTGGAGGTACCTATTATAGATGGCCTTCTCAAGGACTTTAGCCCCCAAAAGAAAGAGAAATGTGATATAATAGCTGGTGGGTAAGGGATGGATCAAGTGAGTTTACATATACATGATATACATATATATGTATAGGATATACATATACATATGTATGTGTATGTATCAAGTGATTTATTGAGAATGAGGAAGAGAAGGATATTTTGATAGGTAGTAGGGAAACAGCAGACAGGGAGAGATTTAAGATAAATGAGAGGGTGGGGATGGTAGAAGGGGCAATCTGCTGGAGAAAATAAGATGGAATGAGATCACTTGTAGGTGGATTTGTCTTAAGGAGAAGAGTTACCTCTTCATGTAAAATGGGTGAAAGAGGAAGTAGAGGCAGAAGGCTCTTGTGTAATGTGAGATGAGGAGAGGAAAAGAGCTCTTGTCTGAATGGCCTCTTTTTTTTCAGTGAGATATGAGGCAAGGTTCTCAACTGAGAGAATGAGGAGGGAAACTCTTCAGAGATTTGAGAAGGCATGAAAAGGTTTGGAAGAGCTTCTGTGGCAGTGTGATAGTGAGTTAATTAGGGAGGTTATAAAAGGATTCGCCTTGCCATGGTATAGGTTGGTTAAGGGTGTGTAACACAAATTTGTAGTAGACTCAAGTAAGAATGGTTGCATGATTTTCTCCAGCTATGTTCATCAGCACATATCTGGGAGCAAAGGCAATATATGGTGGGAGTAATCCAAGGCTGAGACTGGGCAGGGCAAGATTGAGAATAAAAAGGCAGAGGACTCAAGAGGTTATAGTGTACAGTTGAACTGTTTCACCAAGGAGTAAAGATAGGGAAGAGAAGAGGGTGTAGCTGGTGCAAGGGTGATGGCCTGGGAAAGAATTGAGAGGTCAAAGGATTGGTGGTCAAGGTGAGGACAACGAATAGGATTCGGGAGTTGTAAGGCAGGGGGGAGAGGTGGAAAGCAGACAGAGAGAGCTCATGAATCCTTTAGAGTGGTGAATTGGTGAGTGATGGCAAAATCAAGCGTATGACCATTTTTGTATGTGGCCGAGGTGGAGTGAAGGAGTATATATCATGTGAAATGAATAATTGGAGGAACTGTAGGTTAGGTTGTCTGAGGGAAGATCAGTATGTATTTTGAAGTTCCCTACTAGGAGGGCAGGAGTTCAGGAGGAGAGAAAGATTGTGAGTCAGGTACCAAACATTAAGGAAAAAAGCAGACTTTCTCTCTCTCTCTCTCTCTCTCTCTCTCTCTCTCTCTCTCATATATATATATGTATACACACACACACACACACACACACACACACACACACACATACATGAAAACTGGAATTTTTTTCCAGTTCAAAAAAAAGTAGGGTTGAGGGATCTACCCATTTCTTGGCATTGCCCTTCTCTCCTAAAGATTATGGGTTTACTTCCCATCACTGTTTATGTTGTTGTTTTGCTTTTTAAAAATGGCTATATCCCCCTGTCAACTGGTTTGGAAACCAGGACCAAAATTACTGCAAGTGTGATCCTTCTCAACCTGACCTCAAACTACCTTTCTGGGCTTATGATTCATTCCTCTCTTTCAAGGACTCTTTGTTCCAACAAAACTGGTCTGCTTGCTGCTCCATGTGTACAGCATTCCATTTTCTAGCTCCATGCCTTTGGAAAGGTGGTTCTCCATACCTGAAATACATCTCCATCTCCCCTTTATCCCTCAGAATCCCTAGATCCCTTCAAAGCTCAATTCAAATGCTCCCTACCACACAAGGTCTTTTCTGACTCCTGATTCTCCCCCACCCCCAGAAATTACTTTGTATGTTTCTTCAATTTTGGGGCAGGGTTTGTCTAGACCTGGGATTTCATTAGTTTGGGGAACCTCACCAATTAAGATCAGTAACTGTTCTGCAAGTTATAGTCTTAGAGAGTTGCCTAGAGACCCTGAGAACTTAAGCCATTTGTCCAGGGTGCCATATTCAGTATGGAAGTTGTATTAGTGTTGGGATTTGACCTAAGTTTTCCTGACCCCTGAACAGTTTTCTATCTATCATACCTCCCTCTCCTATCTTGTATTTACTTATCTGTATTCATGTTGTTCATGCTTCATCCTCATCCCCATAGAAAATGTAACGTTTTTGAGGGTAGGGATTATTTCCTTTCCATTTTTGAATTTGCAAAAATCATCAATGCTTAGCACAAGACTGGCCCATAGTAGGCAGATTCTTCATAAATGCTTGTTAAGTCAGATTGGACATTCAGCATTGGGGAGAAATGGGATGAGGATTGATTGATGGAGGAGGCTGTTGGGAACACACCCAAATGTTGTATGGTATAGTGCAGCCCACAGCAGAGCATGGCTTGAAAGCTAAGCTATTGGAGTTCCTGGGCAAACTAGCCCCAAGACTTGTTCTTTCTATCTCTAGAGCCACTCCATTAGAGATCCTTTAAACTTCTAAGGACGAGTCTGGTCAAAATTAATCAGGAGAAAATACTGCCCTTGGGGAATGTTCTAATGAGCTCAGAGTCTTCTGTCATATGAGTCAATTACATCTTACCTATCAGCAATGGGTTGTAAATGATTTAAGATAATAGGGGGAAAAATAACCAAGAGTATAGAGGAAAGACTGTCCCTGAGGTTCCCCTAAATACATAAGGTAATTAGGGAACGGGCTATGTATGGGATGGAAGAAAAATGTGGTTCTAACCTGAAGTGTTTTTCAAATGATAGTAGGTGTGCTTCAAAAGATTCTCTCTGCAAGGTTCAGTTGTGGGAAGGTATTTGCGCTCAGGGTGCTAATGAGCCACAGTTATTGAAAGTGACTGATCTACTTTCATTCAGTCAGAGACTGCTTCTCTGGGTTTTTACAGAAGGTCCAGGTAGAGGAAAGTCCTTGTAGGCAGAAAGGTAGCCATCACAGTCTTAGAAGAAAGAGAAAGTCACACTATTGAGCATCAGCAATTCTACCGTAGAGCCTCGGACCCCTTGACTTTGGAAGGATAATTGCCAGAAGATTCCATCAGGAAGAAACAGCTTGGCCATAGTCCAAGCAAGTATCCCTGGAGAAAATTACCTGAGAATAAGACCCATCAATGTCTTTGCCTTCCACATAAAGAGCCACTTGGCTCAGAAATGACATTGGAAGACAAGGAGGAGGGGCTTTGGAAGCCACTGTCAGGGAGGCACAGCATTTTGGAAACCAGTTTCCTACTTGGATCAAAGCTTCTCAGCAAAGAGAGTTATGAAGGGTTTCAGCCCCGGGTCAACACCTGGGAAAGGGTGAGGGTACATACAGAGTCTTCCTTTTCTTCTGCCATACTTACTCATACTAAGAACTTTTCATAAGAGAGAAGATTTGGAACTCAAAGTTTTGAAAACAGATGTTGAAAATTGTTTTTGCATGTAACTGGGGAAAAATAAGATACTAAATTAAAAAAAGAAATTTTTCACATTTTTCCTTTTTTAATTTAAACTTTTATTTTTTAAATAAATTAAAATCTACCCTCTCTCCTTCCCTTTGAGAAAACAATGAACCACAAATCTGTGCTCAAACATGTATAGTGGAACAAAGTGGCCATGTCCACACAAGTTTTTGTTTTCCATCTCTGGGAAAGGTAAGGAATCAATTAAGCATTTTAAAAATGTTTACTGTGTGCTATGAACTGGAAAATTACTGTCTATATGTGCGCTCTTGTTCTGGAATCTGTCTCAGGTGAAGTTGCATGCACTGTTCTAGTCTAACTGGCTTCCTTAGTTGTTCTTGGAACACAGTGTTCCATCTGTCACTCCATGTCTTTGTCCAGGTAGTTCCCCATGTCTGGAGTGTTCTTCCTTCTCACTTTGCCTCAGAAATAGAGCTATCATCTTTTGGAGTTATTTTGCATACTTTTGTCTATGTAAACATGTGGTATCTCCTCTTCCCAGTAGAATGTAAGCTCCTTAAGGGCAAAGATGTTTCATGTTCTTGGGATTTAGAAGGTGCATAATAAATGTTTACTAAATTGGATAGGTCCCATTTGTTTACTATCCCATCGAGTCCCTTAGTACTCTCCTGGTCCTCAGTACAACAGAACTCTGTAATAAACACACACACACACACACACACACACACACACACTTTTTTTTAATTTTAATTTTTTCTGCTGTTAAGTGACTTGCCCAGGACTACGAAGCTATTAAGTATCTGAGGCAGGACTTGAACTCATTTCTTTCTGACTTGAGATCTAGAACTCTGTCCTGTGCCACCGGCTGCCCTCCAGCTTGGTTCTAAGTATACTAAATTCTGGTGGTCTGAAAAGACTGTGATGGGCTCTCTCTCTTGCCAGGCATATCTGATAGAAATCTCATAATCCATCATATTGTAACTGGATTCTTTGAACTTTAATTGCTAATATGTGGCAGTGGAAATAACATGAGTTCTGGAACTAGATTCTGAATTTAATTCACCTCAAGCGGGTATATGTTGACTGCAAGAAAAAAGCAAAGTGAAAAAATGATAGAGGTGGTTAAAAAACTTACCACCCCAAAGTCTTCATATTAAGCAGAAGACAGATTTATGGCAACCTTCTGGACAGCAGAGTTTCTACAGATAGGCAAATGGTAATTGGTGAATCATTAGCACTGGAAAAGAGCTATGCCAACAGCTAACACCACTTCCTTTCAACTTGGAAAAATAATCATTGATTCAAGAAGTATTTAGTTTCCAGGAACTGAGTTAAGTCCTGGGAATACAAAGTCAGAAGGGAACCAGTTCCTGCACTCAAGGAGCTTACATTCTCTTGGGAGAATGGTAGAGAGGGAAATGAGGAACAAGATAAGAAAATACAAAGTAATTTCTGGTGCTGGTAGAAGCACCCTGGTAACTGAAGGAATCAGGCTAGGTGTCTTATAGAAAGTGGAACTTGACCTTGAAGGAAGCTAGGTAATCAAAGGAAGTAGTCTGAGGTAGTTCCTCAATTTTCCCCCATTTCCCAATTCTCCAGTCTTCCTTTCTGTGACCTTCCCCAGTGCAGGTTCCATTCACACTTCTCATTGTGTGATTTTTTTTTGGGGGGGTGGGTGGTGAAGAGGGTGGTGTCTTTCCATAAATCTTCCATCCAACCCCTCTGGAGATGCTGGTTTTTTAATATATGTTTTGTGGGTACTAGCGCAGCACACCAGCTATTCATCGTATATGACTTATCCACCACATTCTTAGGCAGGAGATGGCGCAGTGAAAAGAGCAAGTCAGGAAGACTGGAGTCTACATCTGGCCTCAGACACTTCCTAGCTGTGTGATCCTGGGCCAAGTCATTTAGCCTCTGTTTGCCTCAGTTTCCTCATCTGTAAAATGGTCTAATAATAACACATGTGAGGGGCAAATGTCTTCTAAGGAAATATCCAGCATCATTTCATCACTTCCTAACAGTTGTCCATATGCATTTAGGAACTTTTTTTGTAACCCCTAAACTTATCCATCTGCCCTACTTCTACATGTATTGGCATTGACACATACATACATACACATACATACATACATACATACATACATACATGTAGAAGAGACCTCAGAACGTGTGTCATGGTTCAAAAGAATGCCAATAGCCCCTACCCTTGATATAGCTCCTGTCTCAAATCCCAACTTCAGCTGTTTCCCCTGGGAGATTGTCTTGGAACCATACTGCATTTAGGTAACTACATTTCTAAACCTGATTTCAATGCTACCACTCCAATTCAGTAAACAGTGAAGAACACATATTTTCAGTGAATTTAAGTTCCTTGAGGATACTAACTGCTTTAGTTTTGTCTTTATATTCCCAGCTTCTAGTACAGTGACTGGCCCCTAGAAGGCATTTAAAAAATATTTGAACTATTTATGAGAACCATGTAGTTCTCAAGATTACGAACTTTAAAGATGTTTTGACCAATGAACCCGTGTTACTCTATAGCACCTTAGGTTTTGTTATCTAAATATATTTCCTAACATTCTGGAAAGAAAGACCATAGAACTGAATACAATCCATGTTTCTTCTAAATTCTGGTTAGAAGACAAACACATTAAAAATGTGGGAAGGGGTATGGAAAGGGAACAGAGCAAAAAAGTGCAAGGTAGTGTAGGCTAGTAGAAAGTGAGCTGGATTTGTATTGAGAAGACCTACTTTTGTGACCTTAGGCAAGTCCCTGAATCTGTCTGGGTCTCAGTTTTTAATTTATAAAATGAGAGCATCAGAGCAGATGGCCTCTGAGATGCCATCCTCAGAAAACCTTTGCTTGACACCATCCCTGCTAGATATTGTCCTATTATCTCTTCTACCCTTTGTGGCCAAACTTTGCGAAAAGGCTGTCTTTACAATAGATGCCTCCAACTTTCTTTCCTCTTACTCTCTTCTTAATTTCTTAAAATCTGGTTTCCAACCCCATTATTACACCAAAATTGCCCTCTCCAAGTCACCAATGATCTCTTAGTTGCTAAATCCAATGGCCTTTTCTCAATCCTCATTCTCCTTGACATCTCTGCAACTTTCGATACTATTGATTACCCTCTTCTCCTTGACAATCACTTATCTCTAGCTTTTCAGAACACCATTTCTGTCCTAGTTCTCCTCCTACCCTTCAGACTGCTTTTCTGCAGTTTCCTTTGCTATTCCTCATCCAGGTCATCCTTCTAACTCTTTTTTCCCCATCTTTCTAACTCTAGGTGTCCCACAGGGTTCTGTCCTGGGCCCTCTTCTCTTCTCCCCCTATTTTACTTCCCTTGGTGATCTCATTAACTCCCATGGATTTAATTATCATCTCTATGCTGATGATTCTCAGATCTATGTATTCTGCCCTAACTTCTCTGCTGACCTCCAATCACACATCTCCAACTGCCTTTCAGATATCTCAAACTGGACGGCCAGTAGACATCTTAAACTCAACATGTCCAAAATAGAACTCTTTCCCTCTAAACTCTCCCCACCCCCCACTTTCCCTATTACCATGGAGTCCCTCCACTCCCTCTGGAGGAGGGAGTCATCCTCAACAATTCACTAACTCTCACCCCCTCCCCCAATATCAAATTTATTTCCAAAGTCTGTCGATTTCACCTTTGCAGCATTTTTCCAATATGCCCTCTTCTCTTTTATACTGGTGCAAGACCTGGGTCTTCCTGCCTCAAGTCTCTCCTCACTCCAATCCAAGCCACTAAAATGATTTTCTTAAAGTGCAGGTCCGATCATATTAACCCCTACTCAATAAACTCCAGTGGGTCCCCATCACCTCCAGGATCAAATACAAAATCCTCTGTTTGGCATTCAAAGCCCTTCATGACATAGTTGCCCTCTCCTCGCCTTTTTAGTCTTCTTACACCTTTCTCTCTGCTGAGTACTCTTTGATCCTCTTACAGTGACTTCCTTGCTGTCCCATGAATAAGACACTCCATCTCTGCTCCAGACATTTTCTCAGGCTGTCCCCCATGCCTGGAATGCTCTCCTTTCTTATCTCCACCTGTTGGCTTCTCTGACTTTGATCAAGTCCCAACTTAAACCCCATCTTCTACAGGGAACCTTTCTTAACCCCTCTCCATTCTAGTGCCTTCTTTATTTTATCTATCTATCTATCCATTCATCTATCTATCTATCATCCATCCATTCATCCATCCATCCATCCATCCATTCACCCATCCAGCCATTCACCCACCTATCCATCCATCCATCCATCTATCTATCTATCTCTCTATGTATCCATCCATGTATCTATCTACCTATCTATCCATCCATTCACCCATCCATCCATCTATCTATCTATCTATCTATCTATCTATCTATCTGTCTGTCTGTCTGTCTGTCTGTCTGTCTGTCTGTCTGTCTGTCTGTCTGTCTGTCTGTCTGTCTATCCATCCATCCATTCACCCATCCATCTATCCATCCATCCATCCATCCATCTATCTATCTATCTATCTATCTATCTATCTATCTATCTATCTGTCTGTCTGTCTGTCTGTCTGTCTGTCTGTCTATCTATCTATCTATCTATCTATCTATCTATCTGTCCATCCATGTATCTATCTATCCATCCATTCACCCATCCATCCATCCATCCATCTATCTATCTATCTATCTATCTATCTATCTATCTATCTATCTATCTATCCATCCATCCATCCACCTATCTACCTATCTATCTATCTATCTATCTATCTATCTATCTATCTATCTATCTATCCATCCATCTCTATCTGTTGCCTTAATTATTTTCTATTTATCTGATCTATAACTTGTCTGAACATATTTGTCTGTTGGTTGTCTCTTCTTTTAGACTGTAAGCTCCTTGAGGGCAGGGACTTCCTTTTGCCTGTTTTTGTATCCCCGGTACTTAGTACAGTACCTGGCCCACAGTAGCCACTTAATAAATGTTTATTGAATGACTATTGACTGACTGTTCAGCACTAAATCTATAATCTTGTGACAGATCCTTTCAACACAGTTCTAAATCATGATATCTGAACATTTATCTCAGCTCTATTCCATTCTATACAGAATCATTTGCTTCCAGTACTCTTTTAATCTAACATCAGAATTTCTCTACATTTTCCTCATAGGTACACCTCACTGCTTCCCTAATGCAGCGGAGAATTAAAATTAGTCTCTAATATATTTAGGTAGCTTAATCATTAAAAATGATTGCTTACATCTTGCAATGTTGTTGAAGCAATGCTGTTGAACCAGGCTGTTGGGGTAAGTATGTACTTTTTGGATCTTACACCTGAAACTCACCTGTGACAGTTCTGCTTAGTAATATCCTACATCATTTCATCACTTCCTAACAGTTGTCCATATGCATTTAGGAACTTTTTTTTTTACCCACTAAACTTAAGTTTATTACAGTACATTCACCCTCACATACATATAAGGCAGCATGGCAGAGGGGGTAAAGAGCCTTCCTGAGAGTAAGGAGTATTTGGTTCAAGAACTAACCTCTGACCTATCCTAGCTGTGTCCTTGAGAAGTCATTTAACTTTTGAAAGCCCCAGACAATTCTCTAAGACTTTTATGTCCCAGCTGCCCATCTAAATTGGAAGAGGGAGTCTTCTCACTGACAATTTTCTATACTAATGAAATCACAAGTATAATTAATAATGATAAATGGGTATACAGACATATAGTGGCAGTATGTGGCACAATAGATAGAATGCAAGGCCTGGAGTCAAGAAGACTCTTCTTCCTAAATTCAAATCTGGCCTCAGACACTTACTAGCTGTATGACCTGGGTAAGTCCCTGAACCTTGTTTGCCTCAGTTCTCTCATCTGTAAAATGAATTGTGGAAGTATTTTTGCCAAGAAAACCCCAAATAGAGGCAGCTAGGTGGCGAGGATAGAGCTCTGGCCTTGGAGTCAGGAGGACGTGAGTTCAAATCCAGCCTCAGACACTTGACACTTACTAGCTGTGTGACCCTGGGCAAGTCACTTAACCCCAATTGCCTCACCAAAAAAAAAAAAAAAAAAAAGAAAAGAAAAGAAAAGAAAACCCCAAATGGCGGTCATAGAGAGTCAGACATGACTGAAAGTGACTGAACAATAATATACACATATATCTGCGTATGTGAGAGCAAGACAGCCACACAGAAACATTTGTTTAGACTTGCTGTTTCATCAAGGGAGCTCACAGAGAGGAAACCTGCTTCACTAAAGGCAATTTCTCTGTACCTTAAGAATTTTAGGGGGCATTCAAAGACATTCAGACATTAAATGACTTACTCATGTTCACAGTTATTATGTATCAGAAGCAAGATTTATGTCTGTCTTCTTGATTCTGGGGTTAGCCCTCTATCCACTTGGCCAGGTTACCTCTTGCCAGTGGGTGGTTACCAATTTGTATAGCATTATAAATAATCACTTTTTTACAGTCTAATTTGGCCTTCTGGAGTAAATTTCCTGTACAGTAGAACAAATCAGGATCATGAGCCACCTTGGAAACAATCATAAACATTTTTACTAGTTCACAATTACTAGAGATTTAATTTTATTTTAGCCAGTCTCCTCTGTCCCCTCTCCTTCCCTCCCCCTCCCCAACCCTGATATGCTCAGGATAAAATAAATATGATATGCATTCTTTGATACTTACCTGGCAAAAATTTTTTTTACTCATTAAATACAAATGGGTAAACAGCTAATTTTCATTAAATTTCTTTAAGATGAGCTGTAAAATGTCCCTTTTAAACTGAGATGCTTTCCTGATGAGCGTCCAGTTAACCACTGGGCTGTATTACATCAGTTCTCCTTATTTAAATACTCTCTAAAAGCAGTGAGTGGCAGCATAGTCAGAAGGAGAGGATGGACCCTCTAGATAATAAGTTTAAGTCCTTCTCTCTCTAACTCTTTTCACAGAGGGTGTAAAGTAAGAAGGAAATCAACATTTGAGAACAGCAGCTATTGTCAGAGCAAGACCTGGGTTCCTTGCTGCCTTGATACATATCTGTGTGACCTTGGGCAAGTCAGTGCTCGAGACAGCTTCCAAAATCTATGAAGTTGTAGACAAGGTGCCAACCTGCATTGGTAGATGGGTTTTCCTTCCCTGAGTTTTCTATACCCAGCGGTACATTGGAGCCAAGTTGAACTGGCTGGTGTGTTCGTTTGTTAAAATTTTTAGGGTAAGCATTTATGTCCCCAAAATCTGTAAATGCTACAAATGGAGGCTTGATTTATTGTTTTATTGGTTGTATTTATTGATCACAGTCCCTATTGTATGTTCAGGGATAGAATACAGAACCCTGAACTTGACACCAGTAAAGGACCTACTATGAGTAGCTGAAAAGGCAATGCCCACAAAATTCACCCTGGGTTGAGCAAGATAATTTGTTTGTTCCTTATTGAGGGAAAGTAGAATTCTGAACCATCATTCCCTTGGAGGTACTGGTCAGACCAGGAATTCCATGGGGAGGGAACGCCCTCCTCTTCCTCTCATCTCCTGATGGGGATTGTCACCTCATCTGTGACTTGGGCTCTGAGAGAGAACAGTTTAAGTGAATTGCCCAAGTTTACACAGGTAGATCAGAGATTTGCACCCAGGTCTTCTGATCCACAGCCAGAGCACTTTTTGCTGTACTATGCTTCCTACTCAAACAGTTTTTAACTGGCAGCTATCTAACACAATTGAGAGTGTTGGAACCAGGAAGACCTGAGTTCAAATCCTGCCTCAGACATTTACTAGCTATGTGACCCTGGGCAAATCACTTAACCTCTCGGCCTCGGTTTCCCCATCTGTAAAGTAGTGATAGTAATTGTACCTACTTCCCATGTTTGTTGTGAGGATCAAATGAACTCACATATGTAAACCTTAATGTAAACCTGCTATCATTCTATTGTTGAAATAAACACCCTTTTACAAGGGTAACTCTAGAATTCACATTGACTTCTCAGAAGTGAGCTTCAACAGTACAAATCTTGCTAAGCTATCTCTCCTCACACTCCAGTACATCTGCTTCCTTTGGCCCAGAAGCAGTAAGTGACATTTATCAATAAACAATATGATGTCCTCCAGTGACCAAGCTTCCCATTTCTGTTAAAGCTATTCTCTACCCATCTGTGGTCATCCTCCTTTAAGATGAAAATGACCTAGACATCTAGTTATTACTCACTGGCCCTTTACCATCACAGCCTTTAAGATTATTTCCATGCTCAGACCAAAACCTACAGGAAAAGAAGAAGGACTTGACAGCTATGGTAGTGGAAGAGGTCTGAAGGCATCACTCCTAGCAACCAAATAAGCCAGGGTCACAGAAAAATAACCCTTGGTAACGAGCAGGATGCCAGCCGTAACCTCTGCTAGGGTATACCTCCCCGGAGGCTGAGTCATCCTCTCTTCCTTAGGCGCGTGCTTTACTGAAGAGATAGCACCAAAGAAGAGTCAGACAGACTAGGAAGGACAGGAGGCAGATGCCTCCAGAGTATGGGTTCCTCTTTAGCTCATGCCTTTGGAAGGACTCCTTACTCTCCTTCTCCTGTTACATCTAAAGAAGTCAGGCTTTATGGAGATTTGTCAGGAATGAGCTTATTAGGGGAAATTTTTCCTAAGAAAAGAGGGAACTAAGGCTGAGGAGTAGGGGAAGTGACTGAAATCAATTTTTTCCCCGAGTCTTTTTCTTTCCCCTCTCTCTTTTTTTCTTCTTTGTTTATTTCTTTTCCCCCCCTAGGATGTATGGAGAGGGAGAACAAAAAACTCTCTGAACTGGGTGTTGCTATTGCAGATTATAACCTGCTCTAACTCTGCTCCAATGAACAGTTTTTAATTGAACAGTTTTCCACCCAGCATCCAGGACAATCAATGTATCAGTCAACAAACAGATAATAAACCTTGGAGCAGAGGAAGGAGTACTGACTTTAGAGTCATAGGATGGGAGTTAAATTCTGCCTCTGATGCTAAAAACTGTGTGACCTTGGTCGAGCCATTTACTTATACTTCTTGGTCCTCAGTTTCTTCATCCATTAAATGAAGTTGGTTCTAAGATGGCTTCTGGGGTTCCTTCCAGCTGTGGGTTTATGGCCTTATGTGCCAGGCACTGAAACCAGTCAGCTCTAGATTGATAACATCCCAGAGGGTTTTTGTTTCCCTCATATTTCAGAGAATCATATTTCTAAGCCATTTTTGAAGCATTATTTTTATGGTGTTGCATAATGAACAAGCCAAAGATGAATTAACATTCCAAAGACAATCAGTTTGGAATGGCTTAAGTAGATAAGTCATGCGGGTTCAATGACAAATTTAAAAAAGAGAGACACTGCTCCATCATCAGACCAGCACTAAATTATCAGGTGTTTTTTCCCCTCTTGATTATAATTTAGGACTGAATGAGAAGAAATTGGAGAAGGTACAGAGGAGAGCAATGAAAATGATTAAAGGATAGGTGATGTAAGTTTCAAGGAATTGGGATGTGTATCTCCACCTGAAACAGGACAAGGCAGAGCTACACAAATTTTATTTGATTATTTGCCTAAGTGGGGAAGAAGGGGGAGAGACAAAGAACTATTTCCATTACACCCAGAGGCAACCCTGTAGCTGTACTTCTAAGTATGGTAGAGCTGCGGAAACCCCCTTGCTATGAGGTTTTCAAAAAAGTTTCGAAAATCCTGTTCAGAACAGCTGACGTACAGACCTGCCTGCATACTGAAGGATGGAGGAAATTAATTACAACGGTCCTTAACAAATCTATTCTAATCCAACTTGATCAGACAATTCACTCTTAATGAAGTGACACTTTTTTGTTGTTTTATTACAAAGCTTCTTTAAAAAAAATGCTCAGCACATTAACTCAAACTGGAATGACAAAACTTTAGTTAACAGTTTTTGGCAAAGGCTGCGCCTCGCAGTTTTTTTTTGTTTTTTTGTTTTTTTGTTTTTTTTAAATGGGTACATCAATGCTTATTTCAACAACTGGCATAAAATCCCACTAATCGGCTAATAAAAACAGATACAAATACAGAACATTTAAAGTAATAACAATTCAAGTGCTGGGCTTTTTACAAGAGGGGGTAAGAGATAAAGAAGAAAGGGAAAACTCACTGCAAACCAATTTGCTGGATGTATTGTTTAGGTTTACAAAGAGAACTAAAGTGAAGCAGGATCGACATGTCTACTGACAAGCTGACTTGGTGGTTACACTTAATTAGTTCTATATGACACCTTACAAAGACGGAGAGGCCACTATTTGTTACAAACCGTTCACAGAGAAGCCACATTTTCAGACAAGATTTCTCTTGGACTTCTTTCAGTTTCGTTTTTTTAAAAAATCATACTTTTCCAGATCTTTGAATTTTATTTAAAAGATCATATAGCTAGTAAAATATACACCAAGGAAATTAAAACTAAAAAGTTAAAAATATAAAAGCATTCAAGTTTAAAAAAAAAAGAAGCAAACATAAAATTGATCCTTTTGCACTGTTATTAAATAAAAAGTTTGGGAGGAAGGAAGAGAGAAAACAATGGAGACAGAAACAAAGAAGGGGAGGTCTTCCACAAATTCCTCATGGGGTGATGGGCAGGTGATTGAGTGCTGGCTGGCTGTTGGCTTCAGGTGGTTGCAGCAGGCAGGCGGACACGGCCAGGTTACCTTGCTTGCCAAAATGTACAGATATGGATGCAAAATACTTTCGGAAGTACAAGGCAGAGATGAAGGGAGAGAAGCTTCTCAACTGACCCAAAGCCTGCAAACATTCTCATGTGCATTTCAATTTTGTGGGGTTTGTTGTTTTAAAATCTTCTTATGCTTTTCTTTCAGGACTGGGTTCTTGCAGTAGAAGCAAAGAGGGGTTTGGCAGTGATTGTCCTTATGTTCAATGTCTCTAGCAGTAACCAACAGGGTCAAGTGGACATCAAGACTCCTTTGGGGTCAACTGCTCAGACCGAGGAGATGTTTGGAGTTTCAACAGGCTTCCATCTCCAGAAGAGGCCCTGGGGTTGCCGCCTTGGTTTTGCACGTTGGGAATGAGTTTCGTTTTCCACCTCAAGAAGGAACAAATTAAATGCTATTAATATGAACCATCCATAGATGAAACTCCCTGCTGCCCCCCCCCCCAAAAAAAACCCCAAAACAACTCCCCTTTTTAAAAATGTCTCTAATACAAGACCTTCACAAACCCTTTGTATTTCTTTTGTCCATTAGGGCAACTTGGTTATCCCAAAGATGCCCTATCACTGCTTAGCTCCAAGTGGAACTCTGGCTTCAGGCAACACAATTAGAATGTTTCAACATCAGGGTTTTCAAAATGTTTGGATTTCTGCACCTTCTACCACATACTCGATTAATTAAGCACATTTTTACTTTTTTAATGAGTTAGTGGCATCTGTTGTGCCATTTAGCTAGATTGGCTAAAAACAAACAACTCTAAAGCAAACACCTTGGAAAACAAAAATGACTCAACAGTAATTCCTTTCTAATGAAGATTATATTTCCTTCCCTATTTGAGCACTGAATCAGCGATGTGATTCCCCAAGTACAATGTGACTCTCTGTACTTTGAATTTAAATTTCTGCCTTGGGAAGTAAAGCTCCTAGAGCAGGTAGTAGAAATTACACTAGATTTAGGTAGTAGAAATTACACTAGATTTAGCCAGAAGAAATGGGTTCAAACTCCAGGCCTGTCACTAACTACCTTATGTGACTCTGAGTAAGTCACAACCTTGAAAAGAGTCTGAGTGTCTTAGAAATCTTGCCCCCAATTGGTTCAACCTGATGGGACCACTATACAGTGGCATAACTCAGTTTCCTCACCCATAAAATGAGGAGGTTGTACTAGACACAGCCTTCTAAGGTCTCTAAATCTTATGATTTTAGGGACTGTGTTGTACAACGCTCTATGGACAACCCAGTGCACTCAGTAATAACTATCCTATAATAAAAATTGTCTTAAGACCCTCCACTTCAGACCCTATTTTGCACAACAACTAAATTTCAAAAAACTCACCTAAAGGATGTGTACAATGGAAAAAGAAAAAAAAAGCTGGGGAGGCCATGCTAGTATTGTGTGTGTTATAATTTACCAGAGAAGACATATATTATCCAGCATATTGTTAATATCCTAATACCAAGCATCACCACATCTTTCCATATATTTTAATTTCCTTAGTAACAAACAAGAGTCCAGGGTCCTTTGTTACAATCTGTAAGTCGGTCATTGGATTATGATCCAAAGAACTGAAAGGGATCCCAGAGACCATCTAGTCTCTCCATTTTCATCCTGGTATTCTTAAGGACCAGAAAAAAAAAACCAAACAAACAACTTTGTCTTCTGGACAACCCACACTAGTGCCTAGAACCATGTAAGGGATACAGCAAGGGTTAAATGGACATGTAAAGTAGGCAGTGCTTAGGACAATCGTGGTGAATCTTGAACACCAGAAAAGCTGGGAAGACAACAGACCTCAAAAATCAGTTTCGGTAAATTAGGGAGAAGGAATGGACTTGTTTTCATTTATAGTGTTATATGTAATAAGACAAGACAAAAAAAGTCACACTGGAAAAAAGCGCTTTTCTCTGAATTTTTTCCCATGTGACTTTAGAAGTAGGCAGCCGCTCTAGGCTGGCAATAGGCAGCCGGACACAATGGATAGAGTGCCAGGCCTGGAGTCGCAAAGATTCATCTTCCTGAGTTCAAACCTGGCCCTGTGCGGCCTAGGACAAGTCACTTAACCCTGTTAGACTCAGTTTCCTCATCTGTCAAATGAGCTGGAGAAGCATATGGAAAACCACTCTAGGATCTTTGCCAAGAAAATCCCAAATGGGGTCACAAAGAGTTTGACTTGATTGAAACAACTGAACACACACTTAGGATAAATCCATTCCAAACACAACCCTGAAAAAGAGAAGAGGGTCTGAGTATCTTAGAAATCTTGCACCCCACTGGCCCAACTTGATGGGACCAGTATACGGTGAAATAATTTCTTAACAAACTTAGATAACTTGGATTTCCATCTGCTTTTTATTTGGAAATGTTTGGGAAGACTAAGAATGAAAGAGGATAAATAAAAATAAGACACCAAACACTAATTTGAATATTTCTGAAACAGGATAGCAGATGGCAAACTTGAATGTTGTCCCTTAGCAAGATTTTTTAGGTGCTTAATAAAGACTTATGGATGCAGTGATTAAAATTCTACTATCCTGACATAAATATAAAATGATTACTGGGCCATTTGAATTTACTTGACTGAGATAAAACTATACCACTCTCAAGTCACATAGAGAATGGTGGCTACCAAATGCTCAGCCCAACACTACGGATGAAATAGACATCTATGCTTTGTGAAGGTAAGGCCAAATGTTTATTTACAAAAGTGATGTTTTTTTAACTAAGGAGGCCTTTTATTGGCACATTCAATGTCTATTTTCTTGTAAAATTAGACCTTTTCTGACTTAACGGAAGATCTCATATCCCCATCCCCCATCCCATCCCACCCAGTTTCCTGCAGTGGTACCCTACCCAGTAGTATTTGGGGATCAAAGAGATATGAAGGTCTCTACCTTTCCAAGGAAAAAGGAAGAGTCCAAGCAAACAGCATGGAATCAGTGCTGAGTGCACCCCGTAGATTTCCATTTACTTTGTGCCTTTTCATCCCAGATTTTCAAAGGTTTGGTCCAGGTCACTCTTCCTGGGAAGGTTTTCCTCTTAGTCTTACATAAAAACATTCAGCTTCCTGTTGAGGAATAGCCTTGAGGCTCCAAGCCAGTAGCTAACAGCAGTCTGATACAAATGCCGTGATTCAGAGTGGACTGTCCATTAAAAGCCAGAAATGTCTATTTTCTGGAGGAAATGAAGCGTTCTTCTGTTGTGGCTTTTCCTCACTCCCTTCTCTTACCAGCAAGCGCCCCTTTGAAGCCAGAAGGTTAAGATAACTTCCATGGCCTTGCTCAAGGCTTCCATTCTTAAACAAGGCCTTTACTTCTCCTAAGCCAGAATAAAAATGCCATGTATATGCCTAACTCCTCACAGCATTCCTCACTGCCCTGCCTCAAGGCTTCCTTTCTCCATCCATCCCTCTAGCCAAATACTATATATCTATATCTATATCTATATCTATATCTATATCTATATCTATATCTATATCTATATCTATATCTATATCTATATATCTATATCTATATCTATATATATATATATATATATATATATCTTGTTTTTAGATGCTCAGCAGGCTTACTTTTAGGTTTGTTGATGGAGTGATTAAAATTCTACTATCCTGACACATATATAGAATGATTATTGGGTCACTTGAACTTACTTGACCATGATAAAGCAAAAGTCTTACCTCACATTCTTCATAACTGTTCCCCTCCCCTGTCCTCACACACTCAGTAAGTTTCTAAGCATCTGAACAGGCCTTAGGAGAGGAATTTTCAAAATACACTCAGGCAAAACGTGTTTCCTTTTCTTACTAATCCTGGTTTAAGTTTGCTTCGTGAGCCCACTGGACAACTGCCCACCCATAAGCAACTTAACACCTCTGGGACAGATTTCCCAAGGGACATGCTGGATTTTTTTTTTCCTGTTGGTTTCTTTTAAAGAAGGCAATTGATTAACTGCCTCTGGTAGCAAGTGACGTCATTCTTTCCCCTAAGGAGCTAAGGGGCAAAACTCATGGGCACCCACTTTAGACAGACCAACCTCCATACCTTAAAGCGTAAGGCATGGGGGCCTTGGGATGAGCTTTACAGACATTAAACAGGTCAAATCAGGATTCTTTTCAAGAAACCACAGGCATGCGCTAAGGAGATGGAACACTCCCCACATCTAAGACTTCACTGGGGGGGCTGCAGCTGAAGCCTTGCCAAGCCAGGCATGCCCTAGCAAAGCCCAATCCACAAGTGAAGTCGGCGCAATCAAAGGCTGCAATTACAGCTCCATGGTTGTGGTTAGGCTTCAAAGAAAGTGCTGCGAGCCACATTTTACATATGTTAAGTCTTGGGCTTGCTCCACAGTGAGAGCCGCTGTCTGTACCGTTTGTATTGGATATCTGAGTAGGGAGGGGGGTGCCCTCTAAACAGTTGCTACTAGAAGAAAACGTGAATGATCCACATGAAGCACTCAGGGATCAAACTGGGAACTTTTCAAACTATCCCAACAAGTCAAGTGGGATCTGCAACACAGGCTGGTAAAATTACCTATTGGGAATAGGTAATTCACAAGGTGGGGAAGAGGTGGGAGTGAACAGAAAAGGCAGGGGCAGGGAGGGAGGCAAGGGGAGGTCTTTTGTGTAATTAAAAGATTTCAATGTTAGAATGCTAGCAACTTATAACCGACGGGAATAAGTAGCACTAGAATAACAAGTTATTCAATGACAACATTATATTTAAAA